CCTTAGCCTCCTGAGTAGCTGGGACTACAGGAGCACACTACCACGACTGGCTAATTTTTGTATTTTTTGTAGAGATGAGGTTTCACCATGTTGGCCAGGTTGGTCTCGAACTCCTGACTGCAAGTGATCGGCCTGCCTCTGCCTCCCAAAGTGTTGGGATTATAGGTGTGAACCACTGTGCCTGGCCAGCTTCTGGTTGCTTATAATGGAGAGGGAGAAAAGACTGATATCAACAGGGAAGAATCGGGGAGAGGGTTTCCTGGTTTATCCACTGTCTCTGAACTGCAATTTCTGTTTTCACCCTTTTTTTTTTTTGAGACAGAGTCTAGCTCCGTTGCCAGATGGGAGTGCAGTGGCACGATCTTGGCTCACTGCAATCTCTACCTTCTGGGTTCAAACAATTCTCCTGCCTCAGCCTCCCTAGTAGCTGGGATTACAGGTGCATGCCACCACACCTGGCTAATTTTTGTATTTTTAGTAGAGATGGGTTTTCACCATGTTGGTCAGGATGGTCTCGATCTCCTGACCTCGTGATCCACCCGCATCAGCCGTCCAAAGTGCTGGGATTGTAGGCGTGAGCCACCGCCTGACCTCTGTTCTCGCTTTTAACTGTCAGTATAGGGGCCACATTTAAGACTGTCCTTCCGTATTACAGCTTAATCAGTGAGGAACATCATGCAAATCAAAATAGAAAGGAAAAATTAAAGCAAACACCAGTCAAACATTTGTTAAAATTCTGAAATAATGTAAATTTTAAATATACTGTAAATCCTTTTATAAGACAATACAGACTCATTTTCCTAATCATGCCCTTAATGAAAATAATAAGCAAGTGCCAGTCTTCCTTAAAATATGGCAATATGAACTAGAAAACTCATTGGGCCCTTCTTTAGGCTTTGTAAACATGTTACAAAAGCAGTCAGTCATTTGGCTTGGTCTGCAGAATGTCAGACAATCCATAAGTTTTTTTTTCCCTTGAATAAAACATATTTTTGACTGAATTGACTATTTAGGTTTCTTGTAGACACAGTCTTAGTAAAGAAAACTTTAAAAATTGCTTTTGGAGAAGAAAATTGTAGCTAGTTATATCTTATAAAACCATTCTTGTGTTCATTTTCTTGAGGAAATTGCTATAAGTGTATCTTCTAGGGCCAATATGTAAGAGACCTTTTTATGATTAAATAAAAGCTCAGAGATTTTTGGTATCAGAGTTGTTTTATTGACTTGCCTTGGTTCTAAAAATAAAATGAAAACCTTTAGCCAAAGGAAGGCTCATGTGTTAGTTAAATACTGACATGATTTGAACTTATTTTATTTACTTATATTATGTCCGATTCCTATGTATGTCCAATCTTTGGAGACACAAAGAACCATTATTGTGTTAGAAGATTCTTTGGTTTTGTAATACATATTTTTATATCTAAAGTCCTGTTTAAAGATAATTACATGGTTCTATAGAAAAAGAGCTATTAATCTTTGTGTTTACATAAGTTTGCAATACTTGATTAATTTTAAGCCTCTAAAATATGAGTGACATCATTTGTCCTGTGAGATAGTAGATTTGTTTTAGTAACAAATCTTTCAGATCAATTCGTAAATGAGAAAGAAATAAATGTGAGTAAACATTTGTTCTATCTTGGTTTTTGTTTAAGCTAAAATAATTAGAATTCAGCCGGGCAAAAAGAAGTTAAATTTGAAATCTAATTCTTGTCAAGAAATTTTGCATGCAGCTATTCAACCTATTGTTTTAGAATTGCTGTGGTGAGAAAGTAGAACATTACTTTGGCAAATGTAGGGCTTGGTAGACTGGAGAGCAAAAATGAAACTTCTCAGTGAGTAATAGAAAAAATTCCTGTGCTTTATGACTATAGCTACCGAGTACTTCTAAGGCAACTGATAAATCAGAAGGCTGGAGCGAGAAAGTACTCAGAAGTCTATGACAATGTCAGTGATGCAATAATGACTTATTGAAAAATTGATGAAAATTAAAGGAAATGCTTTCTGAACAAAGCTAAGAAAAGAATAGCTGTTTTTAGATCTCCAAAAATCTATCTTAAAATGAAAATTTTAATATTTAAAGATTCTGTTGAAAATTTGTGAATATATATATATTTGTAAACCTTGAAGGATATGGTGGTAAGTATGCTTTTAGGAGTACAGTTTATCATGAAGGAACTCAACTGCAGTTAAATAAAACTGTATGTTACAAGTGCTTCTTACAGTTTCTTATAAAAAGTACCATAAAGTCAGTATTCTTAATGTATGCAAAAAATGATGTTTTACACATCTGACATGGGACTTCTCTACACCTGCAGAGAGAAAGCACTATTTTTCCTAAACAGAAAGCCTATTATTTGCAGATCTACTCCACTGCTCTGAGTCATTGATGGTTATAGATTTTATACTTAACCTGAAATGCGAAACATTTTCTTCTAGGTCTGAAGTTAAATCATTTTGCAAAGTGATACGGGTACATTCTGAATTTTCTTTGTCTTGCTACATATTCTTGGAAAACCAGGTTAAGTGTTTATAAGAGGGGTGTGTGTGTGTGTGTGTGTGTGTGTGTGTGTGTGTGTGTGTGTTTTGAGTGGCATCAGTTGCATTCTTTTCTTCCTCTGCCTGTCTGGAGAGCACTTTTAATGTACCTGTCCCCATACTCTCCATTATAAGTTTTAATCACAATAGAAAAATTTTTTCCACAACTTTGATGAAAGGTCATATTTATTGGGCTGACTTATCTATTATTAAATTCTATTTAATAATCTTATAATACACTGTACACATTACCTGGGGTAAATGTAAGTACAGCATTTAGGATTTTAAAATCTATTCACAAATGAGATTGACCTCTAAATCCCCCTTTTGGGGAACACTTACCATGGTCAGATTTTGGTTATTCTAAGTGAATAAAATGAACTGGGTGGCTTTGTATGCTCTGAAACCATTTATATGAGAATCGTCTGTTCAATAAAAGTAGGAGAGGACTCTGCTATGAAACTTCCTGAGTGAAATGATAAGTGGCATGAAGAAAAGTAAAGCAAGGTAAGGGGCGGAGAGCATGGGCTTGTTGTTTTAGATGATGTGGTTAGGAAAGCCTTTCAACTGAGCAGAAGGCACAGTGAAGCACGGGAGCAAACTGTGTGAATGTTTGAGGGAAAAGCATCCCAGGCAGAGGAAGCAGAAGGACAAAGCCTTGAAAAGGGAGTATACTTGGCATATTAGGGGAGCAGCAAGAGGCTACTGTATCTGAGAGAGAGGAGATATGAAAACTGAGAGGTAGTGAAGAGTCCATTTATTTGGGACCTTATAGACAAAATTCAAGAAAATTTCTTTGTCATTTCTGTTTCTTAATCTTGCTCTTTAATTATGTTTTTCTATCTTTTAGATTTGACTGCACACTTAGTATATTTTTATCCTTTCTCCTCTGATTTTAATAAAGGTTTAAGAGTATAAATTTTCTTGTAAGTGCAGCTTTGCCTGCATTCTATTAAGCTTAATGGCCATAAGTCACATGGCTACCCCAATCTGAAAGAGAAGCCCGGAAATGTAGGATGTTAATGAGCATATTGCTGCCCCAAGGAAAATCAGAATTTTGTTTGTAAAAGAATGGGAGGACAACTTTTAGGTAAACTACTAGCAGTATCTTTTATAAAATCCTATGGGCCTGGCAGATTTTCCTGCCAATCACAATAGATAAGGATTGGATAAAAGTCAGCACAGCTTTCTGATTAGAAAACCAACTATTTCTTTTTTTTTTTTTTTTCTTTTTTTTTTTTTTTTTGAGACTGAGTCTGGCTCTGTCGCCCAGGCTGGAGTGCAGTGGCCAGATCTCAGCTCACTGCAAGCTCCGCCTCCCGGGTTTACGCCATTCTCCTGCCTCAGCCTCCGGAGTAGCTGGGACCACAGGCGCCGGCCACCTTGCCCGGCTAGTTTTTTGTATTTTTTAGTAGAGACGGGGTTTCACCGTGTTAGCCAGGATGGTCTCGATCTCCTGACCTTGTGATCCGCCCGTCTCAGCCTCCCAAAGTGCTAGGATTACAGGCTTGAGCCACCGCGCCCGGCTGAAAACCAACTATTTCTTTAATGAAATAAATATATTTAATTTCCTATTCTATTCAAGTTTATTCCAGTTCAAAGGATAACGGTATATTGCATATATCCCCAGCTTTATCAATCTATGACTACAAAATCTACTTTTAAAGACTATTTGAAATGGTATAGCATAAAACTGTAATAATGTGCTCCCAATTACTTCTGGAAGTTTCTCAAGGTACTCCTTTATATGTACTGCAGAGTGTATTTTTCTTCCTCCTCAAATGAGATCTTTCCAACTTGCCACTATGCAGCTGCCAATGGTCCTAGTTAAGTAAAATGCTGCCATACTTATTTTAGGCTCAGGGAAAAGTAGCACCCACTCATTTTTATTTTTGCTCAATATAAAAATGAGGATACTTATGAGGATACTTAAACTTTTAGAATTAGCTAGTTTTATAAAAAGTGAATTATTCACTCCTTTGTAAAGTATGTAATAGGAATTTGCTCTAATAATAAATAGATTAAGGTTTAAAATTTGAAACCATAGTAATGTATGTTTAACACCAATATATTAAACCTTTTAAAAAACCAAAACCGACATTAAGAAATACATTTCATACTGTGATCAAGTACACACGCACACACACACTCTATACATACATATCTGTCTAATTAAAAGTTTCACAGAAACTTCCAAGGAGGTATGCTAAATATTCTATTATCTATTTGATTCTACTTTATTTTTAAAAAGTGATATCAACCCACAGAATGGATTTCATAACCCACTACTGCAGTTTGATAAGATGCTGTTTTAGACCATGCTTTTCAGCAGTTTTGTGGTCCTATTTTGTCCTTTTCATGTCTATACAGGATGCTTCTAGTGCTAGTTGCTAGCTTTTCTCTGATTTCCAGGATGGTAATAGGATAAGAATTTATCTAAATGGTGATTTCTTTTCTTTCTGCAGCTCTCACGTGTGAATATGTGTCTAGTGCATCCTTAACTTAAGGACTTCACCAGTTCGAAGTTACAGTTTTCACCATCAACTACCTTATCCTTTCTGTTCTGGTTTTCTTCCTCAAACAGTGGAAGGATTTTTAAAGTTGCTTTTGTTGCAGAGTTAAACAAATGGCTGATAGTGACTTATATAAAAAATCCATAGAATGCCCTTACTGTTCATCTGCTTCTCAGAAAGATGTACTTTGTGTGTGTTCCAGCAAAACAAGGGTTCCTCCAGTTTTAGTGGTGGAAATGTCACAGACGTCAAGCATTGGTAGTGCAGAGTCTTTAATTTCACTGGAGAGAAAAAAAGAAAAAAGTATCAACAGAGACATAACCTCTGGAAAAGATTTGGTAAATATCAAAGATTCCACATCTAAGCACAAGTTGATATCCTGTTCCCTGATGGCACTCCTAGCTTCATCCATATCCAATGAGTTCTTGTTAGTTAATTCATTACCTTCATTACTATTAAACATTTCTTTCTCACAGAAGAGGTGAGTAAATTTGGTTAGTAACTTGTTATATTATGTTTCCAACCACTGCCCAAATTAATTATTTCTCAGGACACGAGGTAATTAAACATGTTATCCCCACTTCTTTTTTTAATGGTTTATGCAGAAATGAATTGGTTTTCAAGTTGAATTAAATCTGAATTTTTGAGTATTTTCTTCAGCTGATGAAGAATGAGATTTATGGTTGTGGTTAAGTAAAGGGTAGTTATGGCTTTGTTATTTAAGTCGTGGTTGTCTCGGTGGAATATGAACTATACTTAACAAAATCAGTTTGCATTAGTTACAAATAATCTGTGGCTACCCAGTTGTACTGATTTCGATGTATTCATCTTTTTTAAAAAAATTTTTTGGGATAGACTTTTGCTCTTGTTGCCCAGGCTGGAATGCAATGGCATGATCTCAGCTCACCGCAACTTCTGCCTCCTGGGTTCAAGTGATTCTCCTACCTCAGCCTCCTGAGTAGCTGGGATTACAGGCATGTGCCACCATGCCCAGCTAATTTTTTGTATTTTTAGTAGAGAGGGGGGTTTCTCCATGTTGGTCAGGCTGGTCTCGAACTCCCGACCTCATGTGATCCACCCACCTCGGCCTCCCAAAGTGCTGGGATTACAGGCATGAGCCACTGTGCCTGGCCATACTCATCTTTATATAGAATAGGCAGTGTGTAAGATTGTGGTTGATACAGCACATAAGCCTAAGAAAAGTCAGGTTCCCATTCCTCAAAATTGTACCTTCTTCATATGTTCTCCTTTGACTGTTATTTCTGATTTGTGTTACCATATAGTTACCGCTATATGGATGTCTCAGAGTGAGTTATTACTATGTTATTTTCACTCAAAGCATATTTTTGAGTGGCCAATAATTTATGTATAAGCTATTTGAGATGGTTGTTAAATTGTGAAAGGAGAGTGATTGAGAAAGCTATAAAGTTGCTTTCTTTGATTTCAGAGAATGACTAGGTAAACTGATGAATCTGCTGTGCTGGTTATCATATAGACTTTCCTGGATTCAGGGGATTGGGTTGAATAACTTCTTAAGGTCTCCTTTAACCTAATGAGCCAATGAATTGCGTAGGGCTTAGAATTTGAAAAAGACAGTAAACAATCTTGTGCATAGTAAACATGGCACACGTTAAGGAGTTTCCAGATTATCTAAATTAGGATTCTTTGTCAACCAAGAATATTACATCTTAAAGTTGTTGTTTTTTTATTAATTTTTTTTTGATTCCAGCCCTCAAGAACCTCAAATATAGAGAGAAAAGCATCTCAACAACAGTGGAGTCGGGGCAACTTTATAGAAGGGAAAGTTCCTCACATAAGGATTGAGAATGGAGCTGCTATTGAGGTATATAGAAAGCAAATGAAGCTACTGTGAACTTTCAGGTTTCTTCTAAGTCAATGGTTAATGGAAAAAAATGATTTAAAAATAAATCTCTAAAGAAAGGAAGTAAAGAGGAAACATACCATTTTCAAGTATGGTAACATTTTTACTAAAGAAAATACAGATTAATTATTTTCTGTTTATGGAGGACCAAGTGGATTTTAATTAAAGTAGAGAACATTTTCATTAGATAAAATGAGGATAGTTTCATCTTCAGGTCTTGGCCATTGCTGAAAACAATAGTGGAGTCTTTGTTTAGACCTTTTCATGATGCAGAAAAGGACTAGATGATTTTAGTTAGTTTGGCTGTTCACTTCCTTGATAGTGAGGCCAGAATCTCCCTCGTGAGCTCCTCCATCTTTTCCATCCTGCGATTGGATAAATACCAATATTATTTTTCCAGGATTCAAATTATTATATAAAATATGAATTAAATATTAGAACAATAAAAAATTAAAATGTGTGTTTTTACATTAAAGAAACTGCAGTAAGAACAACCACAAAAAGAAGAAAATTGCATTAATGTTACCATTTAAATTGCTTTGGGGCACCACAAATTGCACCCATTTAAGATGGTATACTTAATAAATGTTTATGTTCTGATTGCTCAGCTGACTGACCACTCTTCATCTCTCTCCCTCTCCTTTGGCCTCCCTAGTGCCTGATACACAAAAATATTGAAATTAGGCCAATTATTAATCCTACAGTGGTCACGTGAAAGGGAGAGTTGCATGTCTTTCTCTTTAAATCAAAAGCTAGAAATGATCAAGCCTGACGTCAAAACTTATTTTAAAAGATATTTGGCAACTTACATGAAGTGCTTAGAAAAGCTGCCTGGCCTGAGAAATTCTGACTTGAAAAGTTTAAATTTCTCCCCTTTAATTAAAGGCCTGTACTTACAACACACACAGACAAATTTACCAAGTTTTAAATTTAGTCTTGGGCCAGGCGTGATGATTCATGCCTGTTATCCCATCATTTTGAAAGGCTGAGGAAGGAGGATCACTTGAGACCAAGAGTTTGAGACCAGACTGGGCAACACAGCAAAACTCCTTCTCTACAAAATTTTTTTAAAAAAATTAGCAGGGTATAGTGGCATGCAACTGTAATCCTGGCTGCTGCGGGGATGCTGAGCTGTGAGTATCACTTGAGCCCAGAAGTTTGAAGCTGCAGTGAGCTATGATCATACTGCTGCATTCTAGCCTGGGTGACAGAGTGAGACCTTGTCTCCAAAAACAATAAAATAAAGAAATAACAAATTTAGTCTTAAGAGCTTTTATAAAAGCAAAATGTGTTCATTGTGAAAAATTAGGCAAATAGAAGTGTGGAGAAAATAAAAATCATCAACCAGATATAACCAATTTAAAAATTATTACCTTCACTTTTTCTATGCATGTACTAGTTTTGTTTTATTTTTCTTTAACATTTTTCCTGTTTTAAATTAGGGGATATTTCAAATATATATACGTATTTTAAAGAAGTAACCTTAACCTGGTGTAGCTGAAGTTGAAGCTTCTATTCCCCCATAAAATAGGCTCATTTTAAATATTTTAAACATTTCAGAAGAGTATAAAGAAGGAAATTACAAGCATCCACAATTCTATTACCCTTACATAACTACTTTTAATATTTAGATGAACATTTTCCCAGATATCCATGTAAGCACCTCCACATACATACATTTTCATCATGAAATCATATCTTATATGCTTTTCACACTGTACACTATGTCATGGACTTCTTCTGTGTCAATAAAAATAGATCTACATTATCATTTTAATAACATCCTTACACAATTATTAGAAATAATAAACTATTTTCTCCTTCATCACCATGTGTTAATATCAAAGCAGTTAGTTTAACAAAGTGATTAGTTTATAAAAAACTAGTTGGCCATTTCTCATTTTAGAATTCCTATTTAAACAGTATTGAAGTACTGTCTTAAAATTGTGGTTCCATTTAGAGAGAAAATGAAAGTTTAACTTTTAAAGGACAAGAAAAATTGGGGAAATGGTTATGAAGAGATTATTTTGTAAATGCGAAAAGGGTAAATGACCATTTTAGTTGAGATTTAACTCACTTTATAAGATATAAGCATACTTCATCATATTGTGCTTTGATTTATTGCACTCTGCAGATCTTGCATCTTTTACAAATTTGAAGGTTTGGCAACTGTGTCAAGCAAGTCTGTTGGTGCCATTTTTCCAACAGCATATGCTCATTTTGTGTCTTTGTCTCACATTTTGGTAATTCTCACAGTATTTCAAACTTTTTCTTCATTATTGTATCTATTGTGATCTGTGATCCGTGATTTTTGATGTTACTATTGTACTTGTTTGGGGGTGTCACAAATTGCACCCATATAAGATGGCACACTTAATAAGTGTTGTGTGCATTCTGATTGCTCCAGTGACTGACCATTCTTCCATCTCTCTCCCTCTCCTTGGCCCTTCCTAGTCCCTGAGAGACAATATTAAAGTCAGGACAATTAATAACCCGATAGTGTTTCAAGCGAAAGGAAGAGTTACATGTCTTTTGCTTTAAATCAAAAGCCAGAAATGATTAAGCCTAATGAGGAGGGCATGTTGAAGGCCAAGATAGGCTAAAAGCTAGGCCTCTTGCACCAGTTAACCAAGTTTTTAATGCAAAAGAAAAGTTGTTGAATAAAATTAAAAGTGCTATTCCAGTGAACACATGACTGATAAGCAAAACAGCTTTGTTGCTGATATGGAGAAAGTTTGAGTGATTTGGAAGAAGATCAAACCAAGCACAACATTCGCTTAAGCCAAAGCCTAATCCAGAGCAAGGCCCTAACTCTTTTCAGTTTTGTGAAGGGGAGAGAAGTGAGGATGTTGTAGGAGAAAAACTTGAAGCTAGCACATATTGGTTCAGGAGGTTAAGGAAAGTCACTGTCTCTATAACATACAAGTACAAGGTGGAAGCAGCCAGTGCTGATGTAGACGCTGCAGCAAGTTATCCAGAAGATCTAGCTAAGACCATTGATAGAAGGTGGCTACACTAAACAACTGATTTAAGCCTTATATGGGAAGAAGATGTTAACTTAATCCTTTCATAGCTAGAGAGGAGAAATCAATGTTTGGCTTCACAGCCCCAAAGGATAGGCTAACTCTCCTGTTAGTGGCTAATGAAGCTGGTGACTTTAAGTTGAAGCCAGTGCTCATTTACCATTTTGAAATTCCTAGGGCCTTAAGAATTTATGCTAAATTTACTCTGCCTGTGCTCTTTAAATAGAACAACAAAGCCTGAATGATAGCACCTTTGCTTATAGCATGATTTACTGAAATTTTAAGCCCACATTTGAGACCTACTGCTCAGAAAAAAAGTCTCCTTTCCAAATATTACTGCTCATTGACAATGCACCTGGTGGCCCAAAAGCTCTAATGGAGATGTACAAGATGGATGTTGTTTTCATGCCTGCTAACACAACATTCATTCTGTAGCCCATGGATCAAAGTGATTTCCGTTTTGTAGCCTTATTATTTAAGAGATAAATTTCATAAGGTTATATCTGCTACAGATAGTGATGGTTCTGGGCAGATTAAGTTGAAAATCTTTTGGAAAGGATTCATCATGCTAGAAGCCATTAAGAACGTTTGTGATTCATGAGAGAAGGTCAAAATATCAACATTAATGGAGTCTGGTAAACATTGATTCCCACCCTCATGGATGACTGAAGGGTTCAAGTCTTAAGTGGATAAAGTAACTATAGATATAATGGAAACAACAAGAGAACTAGAAGTGGAGCCTGAAGGTGGGACTGACTTTTTGCAGTCTTATGATAAAACATGAATGAGTGAAGAATTGCTTCTTATGGATGAGCAAAGAAAGTGATTTCTTGAGATGGAATATACTCCGGGTGAAGATGCTGTGAACATTTTTGAAATGACAACAAAATTTAAAATATTACATAAACATAGTTGATAAAGCAGTGGCAGGGTTTGAGAGCACTGGTTTCAGTTTTGAAAGAAGTTCTGCTGTGAATAAAATGTTATCAAGCAGCATCACATGCTACAGAGAAATATTTTATGAAAGGAAGAGTCAGTTGATGCACCAAACTTCGTGGTTGTCTTATTTTTAGAAATTGCCACAGCCATTCCAGTCTTCAACCATCACTACCCTAATCAGTCATCGGTCATCTACATGGAGGCAGGACCCTCCACCAGCAAAAAGATTGCAACTGCATTGTTATGTTTGTTAGCATTTTTTTTGCAATACAGCATTTTAAAATTTTGTGTACATTTTTAGACATAATGCTATTGCAGTTAATAGATTATAATATAGTGTAAACATAACTTTTATATGCTTTATTGAAATTTTTGCTTTATGGTGGTGGTCTGGAACTGAATACACAATATCTCTGAGGTATCTCTGTATATAATTGAGAGTTGCATATAAATATAAAAATAAAATTATGTTTTGTACTATTTTATAATTAAGTTTTCTGACTTTAATTCTATCATGTGCTATTAAGTGGTATCAAGGAAGAGAGAGGAGTTAGGTTTTTTTAAGAGATACAAAAGAAACAGCTCCTTTAGGAGCTTTTAGACTGTCTTGGAAGAAAAGAAATGAGCCAAAAGGTTTGTAAACAAAAAAGCAAATAATATTGTTTGAGGACCAATACATAAATGGTGATAGGAGTAAAAATAACAGAACAGACACAATTGTGTGAAACAAGGAAACCCTTCATGAAGGAGGTGAGTAATTAGTTGGGCATTGAATTTTCTGTTACAAAAGAAAGGAATGTACGCATTAGAAAATACAAAGACAAGCCTCTCATTTACCTGTTGCATGGTGATATGGTTTGGTTTTGTGTCCCCACCCAAATCTCATCTTGTAGCTCCCATAATTCCCACTTCTTATGGGAGGGACCCTGTGGGAGATGATTGAATCATGGGGGCAGGTTTTTCTCATGTTGTTCTCATGATAGTGACTGGATCTCATAAAATCTGATGGTTTTAAAAATGGGAGTTTCTCTGCACAGACCCTCTCTTTGCCTGCTTCCATCCATGTAAGACGTGACTTGCTCCTCCTTGCCTTCTGCCATGATTGTGAGGCCTCCCCAGCCATGTGGAACTCTAAGTCCAATGAACCTTTTTATTTTGCAAATTGCCCAGTCTCGGGTATGTCTTTATCAGCAGTGTGAAAATGGACAAATACAGTAAATTGGTACCAGGAGTGGGGTGCTGCCAAAAATAGACCCACAAATGTAGAAGTGACTTTTTTTTTTTTTTTGAGATGGAGTCTTGCTCTGTCGCCAGGCTGGAGTGCAGTGGTGCAGTCTCAGCTCACTGCAACCTTCCCCTCCTGGGTTCAAGCTATTCTCACGCTTCAGCCTCCCGAGTAGCTGAGATTACAGGCACAGGCCACCACACCCAGCTAATTTTTGTATTTTTAGTAGAGACGGGGTTTCACCATGTTGGCCAGGATGGTCTAGATCTCCTGACCTCATAATCTGCCCGCCTCGGCCTCCCAAATACTGGGATTACAGGCATGAGCCACTGCACCCGGCTGGAAGTGACTTTGGAACTGGGTAACAGGCAGAGGTTGGAACAATTTGGAGGGCTCAGAACAAGACAGGAAAATGTGGGACAGTTTGGAGCTCCCTGGAGACTTGTTGAATGTCTTTGACCAAAATGCTGATAATGATATGGACGATGAAATTCAGGCTGAGGTGGTTTCAGATGGAGATGAGGAACTTGTTGGGAACTGGAGTAAAGTTGACTCTTGTTATGTTTTATTAAAGTGACTAGCAGCATTTTGCACCTGCCTTAGAGATTTGTGGAACTTTAAACTTGAGAGAGATGATTTAGGGTATCAGGTGGAAGAACTTTCTAAGCAGCAGAGCATTGTAGAGGTAAGCTGGGTGCTGTTAAAGGCATTCAGTTTTATAAGAGAAGCAGAGCATAAAAATTTAGAAAACTTGCAGCCTGCTATAGAAAATGCAATAGAAAAGAAAATCCCATTTTCTGAGGAGAAATTCAAGCTGGCTGCAGAAATTTGCATAAGTAACCAGAGCCAAATGTTAATCTCCAAGACAATGAGAAAAATGTCTCCAGGGCATGTCAGAGGTCTTCACAGCAGCCCCTCCCATTACCCAGAGTACTAGGAAGAAAAAGTGGTTTCATGGGCTGGGCCCACGATTCCCATGCTGTGTGCAGCCTAGGGACTTGGTGCCCTGCATCCTAGCCACTCCAGCCATGGCTGAAAGGGCCCAACATAGAACTTGGGCTGTGGCCTCAGAGGCTGCAAGCCTCAAGCCTTGGCTGCTTTCATGTGGTGTTGAGTCTGCAAGTGCACAGAAGTCAAGAATTAGGGTTTGGGAACCTCCACCTAGATTTCGGAAGATATATGGAAATGCCTAGGCAGAAGTTTGCCACAAGAGCAGGATCCTCAGGGAGAACCTCTTCTAGGGTAGTGCAGAAGGGAAATATGGGGTAGGAGCCCCCACACAGATTCCCTACTGGGGCACTGCCTAGTGGAGCTGTGAGAAGAGGGCCACCATTCTCCAGACCCCAGAATAGTAGATCCACCGACAGCTTGCACCATGCACCTGGAAAGGCCACAGACACTCAATGTCAGCCTGTGAAAGCAGCCAGGAGGGAGGCTGTACCCTGCAAAGCTACAGGGACAGAGCTGCCCAAGACTATGGGAACCTACCTCTTGCTTCAGCGTGACCTGGATATGAGACATGGAGTCAAAGGAGATCATTTTGGAGCTTTAAGATTTGGCTGCCCCACTGGATTTCGGACTTGCATGGGGCCTGTAGCCTTTTTGTTTTGGCCAATTTCTCCCATTTGTAATGACCATTATTTACCCAATGCCTATACTCCCATTGTATCTAGGAAGTAACTAACTTGCTTTTGATTTTACAGGCTCATAGGCAGAAGGGACTTACCCTGTCTTAGATGTGGACTTTTGAGTTAATGCTGAAATGAGTTGAGACTTTGGGGGACTGTTGGGAAGGCATGATTGGTTTTGAAATGTGAAGTTATGAGATTTGGGAAGGGCCAGAGTTGGAATGATATGGTTTGGCTCTGTGTCCCCACCCAAATTTCATCTTGTAGCTCCCATAATTCCCATGTGTCATGGGAGGGAACCAGTGGGAAATGATTGAATCACGGGGGTGGGTCTTTTCCATGTTGTTCTCATGATAGTGAATGGATCTCACGAGATCTGATGGTTTTAAAAACGGGAGTTTCTGTGTATAAGTCCTCTCTTTGCCTGCTTCTATCCATGTAAGATGTGACTTGCTCCTCCTTGCCTTATGCCATGATTGTGAAGCCTCCCCAGTCATGTGGAACTGTAAGTTATCTTTCTTTTGTAGATTGCCTGGTGTGGGGTATGTCTTTATCAGCATTATGAAAACGGACTAATACACATGGTGAATGTGAAAGTGATCACACAGAGAGAGAGAGTGGCATTTTGAGAGTGGCATTTCTATGGAAGGCTTTGACTAGCTGATCCAACCAGGGCATTACCTAGTGGCATTAGTTCAGCTGCTCTCCCATGTTCTGGTTCCTATGCATGATGGGTCCAGAAACTCTTGTTAATTCCCTGGAGTTGATTTGAATCGGGGAAACTGACTCCCCCAAAACCAAATTTACAAGAAATGAAAGAGTAAATGAGTTAGCTGTTTATTATTTGCAATGCAAACCAAAATGGTGGTGTTGGCAAAACCAATGTATTCTTTCTTTGTAGGTAGAAGTTAAATGATAAGAGGATGGATTCTTGGTTTGGATGATGGTTTCATGAGTAGTGGTTATTTTTTTTCTCAGTGCTGATCTGTGTTGAAATTTTTGTCACATACTGCTTTTTCTAAAGCAAAAGGAATAAAACAAAAGTGATTTTTAATAAGATAAAGGAAAAGCATTAGTTTTTAAATAAGGAAACATTTGTTCAGTAGTTACTATGTGTTGATTTTGTAGTATAGCTTTCAGAGATTCGGGATTTTTTGGCGTGAGTGTATTTTATATCTGCACACACTTATGTATATATATTAGTACTCCATTTCTCCTTTTTCTTATGAAGATATTTCATTAATATAGTTTGAAAGAGATTCATTTTTATACTTTTGAGTTTTTCCACATTTCACCATTAGGATTTTTATGGTTTTCTTCCAAAGGACACTTAATAAAATTCATCAACACTTATTTTTGGTTAAGATGTGTTTATTAATATCGGAGAAAATATGTAGTGTCTTCTATTTGATTTTAACTTGGAGCAGAATCTCTTTTCCCTTGGGTGAATATCTGTCAGTATTATATGTTCTTTTTTCTTTTTTTTTTTTTTTGAGGCAGAGTCTCGCTCTGTCACCCAGGCTGGAGTGCAGTGGTGCCATCTCGGCTCACTGCAAGCTCCGCCTCCCAGGTTCTTGCCATTCTCCTGCCTCAGCCTCCCGAGTAGCTGGGATTATAGGCGCCCGCAACCAAGCCCGGCTAATTATTTGTATTTTTAGTAGAGATGGGGTTTCACCGCTTTAGCCAGGATGGTCTAGATCTCCTGACCTCGTGATCTGCCCGTCTCGGCCTCCCAAAGTGCTGGGATTACAGGCATGAGCCACCGCGCCCGGCCGTTCATTTTTAATAGCTGTTGAATGGCATAGAGAGACAAAGAACTCTTTTTTTTTCTTTTTTCCTCCAGGAAATCTATACCTTTGGAAGAATATTGGGAAAAGGGAGCTTTGGAATGGTCATTGAAGCGACAGACAAGGAAACAGAAACGAAGTGGGCAATTAAAAAAGTGAACAAAGAAAAGGTAAGGCTCATTAGCAGCATCCTACTGAGGGCACAGTGTTAGTGCAGGGTGGGTGTGGGCAGTACAGCTTTTCACACTAACACAAGCTGCCTCTCACCCCGAGGTCCCAGCCTGGGCTGATCCCCTAGAGAAGCATGGCATTTCTCTAGCCTCCTGGAAAGGGACTAGTTTGTGAACTCAAGTAGGCAAGTGCTGCCTGGAAAAAACAAATGGAAGGAAAATATAACCAATATAACAAAAAATAGGTAAATTTTACCAGAGTATGCTGAAGATAAGGGCTGGTTCTCAGTATCTGTAGGCACAGGGCTGTGGGCTAGAGATATCTTAGCTAGAAGTGCTGATACTCTGTCCTGATGTTGTTTTGATACACTTTTCTCCTATCCTCTCCTTTCATTTCCTCACTGTTAGCTAATTCTGTTTGTTCATCCTGCCTGCTCTTTCACGTTGAATCACTTTTTGCTTCAACTATCTATGTTATGCTCTTTTATCTGCCGCACTCCTCACTAGATTTCCTCTCGAACTGGGAAACGACTGGGCTTCTCTTGATGATAAAGTCTGAGACCTCAGACTTGACACCTGATCATTTCATCAACCTTTTGCATTTCTGTGCCTGGGAAAAACCAAACAACATTATGGTGTTTTCCCCTAGGATTTGTGATGATAAATATCACATTTAAAAAACAAAATGGTAGGTTTTATGTATTATTTAAAACAAACTGTAGCAAATTACGTACCATTTCTCCCTAATGTTTAGTAAGGTAACATATCAATCTTAATAAAGGGATTAAGAGCCTTTCTAGAAAATTTTAGAATTCTTTAGAACCATAGGTAGCATCCTAAGTGCTACCTGAGATGTTATTTCCTTTGCTTCTTTGGTGTTAGGTAGGGTTAGGGGTTCAGTTTTTGGGTTATGTAACTATCATGCCTACTTGCAACTTTAGGAATTAATAATCTTTCATATTCGTATTTATGTTGAGATTTTGTGAGACCGTAAGACAGTAAGATAAAACTATATAGTCAGTATATGAAGTGAATAGTGTAATATTGTGTTATATTCAGGTCAAGCCATTTGGGAAGGGGAGAGAAACAGAATCGAGATGGATATTAGGAGAAATTGGGGTAACTTTCCATATCTAGTCTAGACAAAAATTCACTCCTCACAGTCACTATTTCTCTTGATCCTTTAGGTCGAGGGTCCCCAGCCCCCAGGTCTTGGACTGGTACCTGTTCATGGCCTGTTAGGAACCAGGCTCCACACCAGGAGGTGAGCAGCAGGCGAGTGAGCATCACCACCTGAGCTCTGCCTCCTGTCATATCAGTGGTGGCATTAGATTCTCATAGGAGCACAAACTCTACTGTGAACTGTATATGTGAGGGATCTATGTTGTATGCTCCTTATGAGAATCCAACTAATGCCTGATGATCAGAGGTAGAACAGTTTCACTCTGAAACCATGCCCTCTCCCGCAACCCTGGTTCATGGAAAAATTGTCTTCCATGAAATCAGTCCCTAGTACCAAAAAGGTCAGGGACTGCTGTTCTAGGTTAACCTATAAATGTGACTTAATCCTTGGGCGGGGCATAGTATGATGGGCAGTGTCCCACCCACTCCTGAGATGCTAAAGGTTGAGAAGGAGAGGTAATTGGAAGCTGGAATGACACTAGGTAAAATTTTAATTAGGCAAAATTTGCCTTATGACTAATCCATTTCCACTCCCTTAAGAACCGTTATGTATTTTCCCAAATCAGGTGGATGGGAGGTGGAGGAATAGCACCTTTGTTATTCCTTGCAGGGAGACTTTTTATTGGAAATTGTCAGGCCTAAAACTTCCACCTATCAATTTCTTCTTTACTATTCCTTGCACCCAACCCAGACTCTCTCTGCTTTCACCTGGACTGACCCTGACACCCATCAGTCCCAGCAGCTTACCTGGGCTGTGCTGCCGCAAGGTTTCAGGGACAGCCCTCATTACTTAAGCCAAGCTCTTTCTCATGGTTTACTTTCTTTCCACCTCTCTGCTTCTCACCTTATTCAATATATTGATGACCTTCTTCTTTGTAGCCCCTCCTTTGAATCTTCTCAACAAGACACCCTTCTCTTCCTTCAGCATTTATTCTCCAAAGGATATCGGGTATCCCCCTCCAAAGCTCAAATTTCTTTTCCATCCGTTACCTACCTTGGCATAATTCTTCATAAAAACACACATGCTCTCCCTGCCAATTGTGTCCGACTGATCTCTCAAACACCAACACCTTCTACAAAACAACAACTCCTTTCCTTCCTACGCATGGTTGGATACTTTTGACTTTGGATACCTAGTTTTGCCATCCTAACAAAACCATTATATAAACTCACAAAAGGAAACGTAGCCGACACCATAGATCCTAAATCCATTCCCCACTCCTCTTTCCATTCCTTGAAGACAGCTTTAGAGACTGCCCCCACCCTAGCTCTCCCTGACTCATCCCAGCCCTTTTCATTACACACAGCCGAAGTGCAGGGCTGTGCAGTTGGAATTCTTACACAAGGACCAGGATCGCGTCCTGTAGCCTTTCTGTCCAAACAACTTGACCTTACTGTTTTAGGCTGGCCATCATGTTGCTGTGCAGCGGCTGCCGCAGCCCTAATACATTTAGAGGCCCTCAAAAATCACAGATTATGCTCAACTCACTCCCTACAGTTCTCATAACTTCCAAAATTTATTTTCCTCCTCATGCTTGACACATATACTTTCTGCCCCACCAGCACCTTCAGCTATACTCACTCTTTGCTGAGTCTCCCACAATTACCATTGTTCCTGGCCCAGACTTCAATCCGGCCTTCCCCATTATTCCTGATACCACACCTGACCCCCATGACTGTGTCTCCCTGATACACCTGACATTCACCCCATTTCCCCATATTTTCTTCTTTCCTGTTCCTCACCCTTTTCACACTTGGTTTATTGATGGCAGTTCCACCAGGCCTAATCGCCACACACCAGCAAAGGCAGGCTATGCTATAGTATCTTCCACATCTATCATTGAGGCTACTGCTCTGCCCCCCTCCACTACCTCTGAGCAAGCCGAACTCATTGCCTTAATTTGGGCCCTCACTCTTGTAAAGGGACTATGTGTCAATATTTATACTGACCCCATATCCTGCACCACCATGCTGTTTTATGAGCTGAAAGGTTTCCTCGCTACACAAGGGTCCTCCATCATTAATGCCTCTTTAATAAAAACTGTTCTCAAGGCTGCTTTACTTCCAAAGGCAGCTGGAGTCATTCACTGCAAGGGCCATCAAAAGGCATCAGATCCCATCGCTCAGGGCAATGCTTCTGCTGATAAGGTAGCTAGAGAAGCAGCTAGCATTCCAACTTCAGTCCCTCATGGTCAGTTTTTCTCCTTTTCATCGGTCACTCCCGCTTACTCTTCCACTGAAACTTCCACCTTTCAATCTCTTCCCACACAAGGCAAATGGTTCTTGGACCAAGGAAAATATCTCCTTCCAGCCTCACAGGCCCATTCTATTCTATCGTCATTTCATAACCTCTCGCATGTAGGTTACAAGCTGCTAGCCCACCTCTTAGAACCTCTCATTTCCTTTCCATCGTGGAAATCTATCCTTAAGGAAATCACTTCTCGGTGTTACATCTGCTATTCTACTACTCCTCAGGGATTGTTCAGGACCCCTCCCTTCCGTATACATCAAGCTCAGGTATTTGCCCCTGCCCAGGACTGGCAAATTGACTTTACTCACAATGCCTCGAGTCAGGAAACTAAAATACCTCTTGGTCTGGGTAGACACTTTCACTGGATGGGTAGAGGCCTTTCCCACAGGGTCTGAGAAAGCCACCATTCTGTCAGACGTAATTCTTCAGTTTGGCCTTCCCACCTCTATACAGTCCAATAATGGACGGGCCTTTATTAGTCAAAACATCCAAGCAGTTTCTCAGGCTCTTGGTATTTAGTGGCTCCTGGTTTTACCTCAAACTGCCACCCTTAAGTCTCTCTTTAAGTGTATGGAAGATCTTCAGTGACAAAGTACACTCCAATACTTTGACCCTGATGAAGTCCTGTTCTTTACTTTTATACTCGCTCTTATTCTCATGCCACCCTCTAACCTCTCCCCAGCTATCTCCACCACACTATCAATCTCACTCTCTCCTAGCCGTTTCTAATCCTTCTTTAACAAACAATTGCTGGCTTTGCATTTCTCTTTCATCCAAATTCGACAAGGCTCTGACTTTTTCACTAATAAAAAAAAAGGCGGGGGGGACTCTGTATATTTTTAAATGAAGAATGTTGTTTTTACCTAAATCAATCTGGCCTGGTATATGACAACATTAAAAAAAAACTGAAGGATAGAGCCCAAATACTCACCAACCAAGTAAACAATAACATTGAACCCCCTTGGACACCCTCTAATTGGACGTCCTGCGTACTCCCAATTCTTAGTCCTTTAATACCTATTTTTCTCCTTCTTTTATTTGGACCTTGTGTCTTTTATTTAGTTTCTCAATTCATACAAAACCATATCCAGGCCATCACCGATAATTCTATATGACAAATGCTCCTTCTAACAATCCCACAATATCACCCTTTACCCCAAAATCTTTCTTTAGTTGAATCTCTCACACTCTAGGTTCCCACGCTGCCCCTAATCCCACTCGAAGAAGCCCTGAGAAACATCACCCATTATCTCTCCACACCACCCGCAAAAATTTTCACTGCCCCAACACTTTACCACTATTTTGTTTTATTTTTCTTATTAATATAAGAAGACAGGAATGTCAGGCCTCTGCACCCAAGCTAAGCCATCATATCCCCAGTGACCTGCATGTGTACATCCAGATGGCCTGAAGCAACTGAAGATCCACAAAAGTGAAAATAGCCCTAACTGATGACATTCCACCATTGTGATTTGTCTCTGCCCCACCCTAACTGATCAATGTACTTTGTAATCTCCCCCACCCTTAAGAAGGTTCTTTATAATCTCCCCCACCCTTGAGAATGTACTTTGTGAGATCCACCTCCTGCCCCCAAAACATTGCTATTAACTGCACCGCCTATCCCAAAACCTCTAAGAACTAATGATAATCCCACCACCCTTTGCTGACTCTCTTTTCGGACTCAACCTGCCTGCACCCAGGTGAAATAAACAGCCATGTTGCTCACACAAAGCCAGTTTGGTGGTCTCTTCACACTGACACATGAGACAGAAATAAAACCCATAAATGAGGACAATGCTTATCCTCAAATAATGGCAATTTCAAGATCAATAGGGGTGATGATTTGGCAGGGTGGTGTTGGTGAGGGTGGAGAAAGCCCTTCTAGAATTTCTGAGATAGAGGACATTGTAGATAATCGATTACCTACACCCCAAATGAAGTCCTTGTGCTCCTTGGAGTGTTACTGACTTTGCCTTTTGCTCTCTGCCTGGTGAGTGTTAGATGTTGGTAGACATCTAACATCTGAAGGCAAGATCTCTCTCTCTTTGTATCTCTGTCTCTCTTTGTCTGTCTCGCTCTCTCTCTTTCCATCTCTCTCTCTGTTTCTCCCTCAGTTAACCAGGCAGGCCAGGAAATAACACAGTGCAGAGCCAAGTGTAGAATCTCATTGCCTATTATTTTTTCATATATATGTATAATCAAATCAAAACAAGACAACAGCAAAACAAAATAAAAACTTTTTGTTTTTATCTTCCCCAATTTATGTCCTTGGAAGTAGATTTTGTTTTTATTATGCTAACATCAAGGGATCAACATATTTTTAAAGGAAATATCAAAAAGCATATTAAAAGTTGGAGTAATTTTAGTAGTTTTGTGAGGGGACAGATACCATGTTGTAGCTAAGTTATAGAAACAATTCAAGAAACAGATGTGGCTTGAGGCTAAATTATATGTAACTTAAAATTGGACAAAGGAAAGAAGGGGCATAATTTAATCTGATCATGGGAATAAATGGCATATCATTTGAAAAACAAACATCTCAAAAAATGTATGAATTCACTTCAAATATGAAGTTGTAGGAAAAGAAGTAGGAAAACATAAAATAACAAACTTTTCTGTCGAGGAATGTAGGAGTGATTTTCATTATGTGAAATCTGTGTTTCTTCATTGATTAAGGCTGGAAGCTCTGCTGTGAAGTTACTTGAACGAGAGGTGAACATTCTGAAAAGTGTAAAACATGAACACATCATACATCTGGAACAAGTATTTGAAACGCCAAAGGTAAAGCTCTATTAGGTGCTGCATTTTGAAAGTTGTTATTATTACAAAATGAATACCATTCCATTCTGAAGTAATCCCTTTGGGGCACAGTTGCTCATGTCCTTGGCATGAATCTGTCATTGGAGATTGATGAGAACATTCTGGAGGACTTTTATTATTGATTGTATAATTAGATGTCTGATGATTAGATTGATGTCTTCGGTAATATGTTTTGGGTGGCATGTTGAAAACAAATGTTTAAAATTACAACAACTTCATACACAACCAAACAGTGATTAAAACTTTCTTAGAGGTACCTTTCCTTTTGCTTTGATCCTTAGTTTCTCCATTAAAGTTTATTGGAATAGTTTCAGAATTTTGCAAAGTTAACTACATAATCAAATTGGTATGAGTATATTTTTCACTATAGTTTGTAGGAGATATTTTTTTCACCTATGTCTTACTAATGTGTTTTATCTTCATATTTCCCTAGATGTTATCATTCTCTTTACCTGTAATTTTTATTTAGAGTTGTTCAGAAGCCTGGATTATTCGCCATTCTGCCTCCAGATTGTTTAGAAGAGTAATAATGTATGGATTAGGCATAAGAACTCTGGAATCATATTGCCTGTGCATTTGAATCCTGTCTCCACCACTTCTTAGTTATCCATGAGAACATGGACAAGTTATTCAACTTGCCCATATCACAGTTCCCTCATCTGTAAAATGGGCTTGTTAACAGTGTTGACTTCACTTGGTTGCTGTTGAAGGATTACATGAGACAATTGATATAAAGCATCTGTCTCATTAAATGGTAGCTATTGTTCTCTGTCTCCTAGGCCAGTCTCTAAGGTAGTAATAGTCAATTTGGGTTGTACATTATGCTTGATTCATTAGGGGTGCTTGATAACAATTAAAGACCACAGTTATCCTTTATGAGAGCAGTATATGGCAATGATGCCCAAAGTCTCTGCCCTTTTCAGTCTTAGAGTTGTGATTTCTTTTATCCCCAAATCTTCATAGAATAGTTTTATTCATTATCATCAGTTTTAAGCCATTTGATTATAATGTGCCTTGATCATTTTCTTCATGTTTTTGTGTGTGTGTGTGTTTGGGGTTCAGGTATCTGTGAGTTTATGGTTTTCATCAAATTTAGGAAATTGGGGGCTACTATTTCCTCACATTTGTATTTGCCTTCCCCTCACCCCACTTTGTGGTCTCCAAGCTAGATTGCTTGATATTGTCCACAGTTCACTGATGCTCTGTTCATTTTTTAAAACATTTTTTATCTCCTTGTTTCATTTTGTATAGTTTCTGTTGTTGTCTTCAAATTCAGTAATCTCTCTCTGTGTAGCGTTGTCTGTGTTGTTAATCTCTTCCAGTGGAAATACGATTTGGTTTTTAAAATATATATATATTCCATGTGTCTACTTCACATGTTCAGTCTTCTTGAATAGAGTTATAATAACTGTTTTCATGTCCTTTTCTACTAATTTTATCATGGGTGTCATTTCTAGGTCAGTTTCAATTTATTGGTTTTTTTTCCCCCTTCATTATGGGTTCTACTTTCCTGCTGCTTTATATGCCTATTAATTTTTGGCCAGATGCCAGATGTTGTGAATTTTACCTTGTTAGATGCTAGATATTTTAATATTCTAATGATTATTCTTAAGCTTTATTCTAGGATATAGTTAAGTCACTTGGAAACAGTTTGATACTTTTTGAAGCTTGCTTTAAGATTCGTTAGGTGGCACCAAAGCAACCTTTAGGAATAATTTTTTCCTGTTACTGAGGGGCTCTCCCCAGTGCTCCATGAATTCCGAGGTTTACCTCCGGCTCGTGGGAGCACAACAGTTCCTGGCTGTGTGTAAGCTCCAGTGATTGTTCCCTCTGTCCCTTTTGCATATTTTCCCCCCAGCTTTGGGTAGTTTCCTCATACACATGTGTTGATTCATACTCTCCTGAAGAATTGAGGGGGTCCTCTGCAAATCTCTGGAGATTTCTCTCTGTACAGCATTCTCCTCTTTGATGCTCTGTCCTGTGAACTTTAGTTGTCTTGGCCTTCCTGGACTTCCGGCTCCGTGCTCTCTACTCATGGAGACTGCTAGACTCTGCTTGGATTCCCTCTCCCTGTTCTGTGGTCCGGAAACTCTCTAGACAGCAAGCTAGAATAATCATGGGGACTGCCTCATGTGTTTTCTCTCTCTCAGGAATAACTACCCTATGCTGGCTGATGTTTAATGTCTAAAAATTAGTTTTATATATTTGCCCAGTTCTTAAGTTGTTTCAGGTGGGAAGATAAGTCTGGTCTTTGTTACTCCATTATGAACACAAGCGGGAGTCTAAATCTAGAATAAGTTTGAAGGCAGAGGAAACCATCGTTTGTGATTTTTCCAGTGCATTGCTTTCCAAACTTAATTCACGTAGGTCAGGTCTGACCCCTTCTGCCTCATAAACACACACAAGCATGTAGACCTTCTATTGAAGCCATCTGAAGTACTAATAGAAATTGCCACCTGATTGGTTGTGCCATGGTACGGATCATCCAGCCTGACTATGCTATGGTTTCTTGTGAGTCTAAATGTTCTCCAGGTCTACACAATTGTTTCTAATAATTATAAAACAGTTATAACTTATATAACTTTGACCAACTTATATATTTAAAATTGACATCAATTTATATTTCAAGTACTGCTAATCCAACCTTTCCTTCCAAATAGTTCACTTATCATTTTATGTACCAGTGAACTGTACAGTCCTGTCAATGGAAAAAATATGGTCCAGTTCAAAAGCTTATTTATGTGTTAGATTTTATAGTTACTTTTGAAATTCTAAAACTGCCTGAGATTCAGTGAATCTGAATTGCGCTATAGGAAGAAAGGATGTTAACCTTCGCTTTCTGTTTTCGTACTTACTGATTGAACACAGAAGTTGCACTAACAGTGCTTATAAGAACAAAATCAGACCTCAAGATCTTAAAAACAACAAAAATCTAGCAGCACAGGTTAGAATGGAGACATAAAGGGTACCCTGTGTTTGAATAGAAATGTGTATGGAAAAGACTTTTTAGTTGACTATGAATCCTTTTTGACTCAATAGATGACTTGGCTGTCGGAATACCTAAAGTGATCTTAATATGCCCCTATATGAACAGCAAATATGGAATTTATATGCCCCTACATGAACAGCAAATATGAAATAGGCATTTCAGCTATGACTTCTTACCACTCACACCCAATTAGTCACTAAGTCCCACTGTTTCTTTCTTGTTGGTATTTTTAAATCTTTTCATTTTCCTCCTTCTGGTCTTGATTCTATGCCTCACATCTACCCTCTATAAACAAAAGTCAGCATACTACAGTTTGAGAGCCACATTGGGTCTGCTGCCTTTTTTTTTTTTTTTAATGACCCATAAACTAAGTTTCTGCATTTCCAAATGGTTGCAAAAGTGTAAAAGAGTGATATTTCATGACATGTAAAAATTCTATAAACCTGAAATTTTCAAGTCTAGAAGTAAAGCTTTGTTGTGTTGTTTATGGCTGCTTTCTCCTGCTATAGCAACAGCACTGAGTAGTTGTGAAAGAGACTCCATGGCCTGCAAAGCCAATAATATTTGCTATTGGGTCTGCTCTCTATAGCAAAGGTTTGTTGAGCCCTGTTCTGCATTACTGCTAGAGTGTTCATTTAGAAATGCACAATTGGTAATATCATACACGTGCACCCCCGCAACCCTGGCACTAGCTTAAAATTCTTCAGTGGCTCCTTATTGCGTATAGGAAAAAAAATCCGTACTCCTTATCGTGATATCCAGAACTCTTTACAACCTGGCCCAAACCTGTTCTTTCTAGCCTCACTCCTCACCACTTCATTCTTCTCCACCCTACCAAGTTCTCCATGTTATTAACACAGATTATTCTTTTAACAGCCAGTGCTGTTTCAAGCTTTGGAGTCTTTGTAAATACCATGTGCTCTGTCTATTCTTTCCCACATTCTCTATCTATGAATCCCTATTCAGACATCCAGATCTGGCCTTAATATTTCTTTTCCAGGGGCATTCTTTAGACAGAGGCTGCCCCCCTTCTGTAACTCCATGGCATTTGGGACCATTAGCACTTATCACATGATACTGTAATGATAACTATTTGTGAGCTTCTTGGGGATAAAGACTGTGTCTTTACCTTTTTGTTTCTCTAGTATCCACTGTGGTATCTTGTACATAATAGATAATACTTTTCAATGAATAAATTAATGATTATGACTGTGATTGTATATGTGATATATAACATTTTAAACATCCCTAGATATATAATTTGATCTCTCTCTCTTTTATATATATAATGTCAGAAAATGTACCTTGTGATGGAACTTTGTGAGGATGGAGAACTCAAAGAAATTCTGGATAGGAAAGGGCATTTCTCAGAGAATGAGACAAGGTGGATCATTCAAAGTCTCGCATCAGCTATAGCATATCTTCATAATAATGGTAAGAAGAGGGTTATCCAGCTCATTGACCCCATGAATACTGATGTCACTTTTGTTCAAGGGTAATTGTATTCCAGATTCATAGGCATAAATAACACCTGCTAATATTGAAGATTTAATTTTTTAGTTAAAAAATTGTTTCCTTTTTAACTTTCTTTCTAGCTATGTTTTAATTAGAAACAAGGCAGGTATACAATACATTTTATATGAATGAAGATGAAATTATGAACATTTTTTATTCAACAGTTTGAAGAGCAGCTAATGTTACAAAATCAAAGGTAGACAAATCAATGGTAAAGGTGAAGTTCCCAAAAACATCTGTTAATCATAACATTAGAATCTGTATGTTCTAGGCATTTTTTTTTGTCTTTTTAGACTTTATTTTAGAGCAGTTTTAGATTCACAGTAAAACTGAGCAGAAGGTAGAGAGATTTTCTATATACTCCCCTGCTCCCACACATGCACAACCTGCCCACTATCAGAATTCCCCACTAGAGTGATATATTGCATTGACATATCATTGTCACCCGAAGTGAGCTTATATTAGGATTCACTCTTGGGGTTTTGACAAATGCGTAATGTCATTTATCCACCATTATAGCATCATACAGAGTGGTTTCATGGTACTTTAAAAACTACGTTTAAAAATGATTCGAATTGCCTTACTGTTCTTAGGTGTTACTGCTGCTGCTCCTCCCCCCGTTTTTTTCCCTTCAAGGTTAGTTTGGCTTACATGTGACTTTAGAACCTTCTCATTTTACAGATGAACAAAAACTTTGTTCCAGAGAAGTGCAGTAACATGGTTTGGTGTGCCAGAGCTGGTACTGGAACCCAGGGGTTCATTCAGCAGATAGTTCCTGAGCACCTCCTGCACTGAGATTGGTCCTGGATTACAAAGATTAAAAGACAAGGCCCCTGCCCTCCAAGGAGCTTGGGCTGGTGGGAGATTGAGTATTGAAAACAAGTTGTAATTCAGTGTGATAATCTCCCCAATGGAAAGCCATATAAAGCACAAGGATTACAGGAGTCTAGGTACCTCATTTGGCTTGGAAAGTCAGGAAAGAATTCACTGAAGGAGCAGTATTTGATCTGAGGAATACAAACTCAGAAAAAAATAAAAGAGGCAGGCCTTCCAGGCAGAGGGAAACGATTTTTTCAAGGGCTTAATATTAGGCTATTGTCAGTCCTTCCCTATTAAGCTATAAATTCAGTATAATTCCAAACAAAATCTTAGCAACATTTTTCATGGAACTTGATAAGATTATTCTCAAATGGGTAAAAAGTAGCCAACAATGAGAAAGAAAAACAATGGAGGCAGCAGGGAGATCTGCCCTGGCAAGGATAAAGGCATAATGATATGTTTGTTAAAGCTGTGTGGTATTTATGTAAAAAGAGACAAGAAGAGCAATGGAAACAATAAAAATTCCAAAAACAAAGCCTAGGAATTGTGTAAGGGAGCTGTGAATGACTAGGTGTAATTGCCAGTTCAGGACTCATTCAATACATTCCCCTGGCAATTATGTGTATAACTTTTTTTTTTTTTTTTTTTTTTTTGAGACAGAGTCTTGCTCTGTCACCCAGACTGGAGCACAGTGACATGATCTTGGCTCACTGCATTCTGTGCCTCCCAGGCTCACGCTTTTCTCCTGCCTCAGCCTCCTGAGTAGCTGGGACTACAGGTGCCTGCCACCATGCCTGGCTAATTTTTTGTATTTTTAGTAGAGACGGGGTTTCACCATGTTAACCAGGATGGTCTCGATCTCCTGACCTCGTGATCCACCTGCCTCGGCCTCCCAAAGTGCTGGGATTACAGGCATGAGCCACCGCGCCTGGCCATGTATAACTTTTTAAGTCTAGGGAAATGACTGCAATGGATATGAACTGAATTAATTATTTTCAAAGGAAGTGTTTGGTATGTGGTTATTTGTATGTACATAAAAATTGTACCTGAGCTCTGACATGTTCAACTGGAGATTTTGTGTCTCAAGGGTTTTTGTTTGTTTGGTTTTTATTTTACTACATAAAGAGTAGGAAAATGTGTGTTGATGTTGTAGAAAAATATACTGAAATAAGTATAGTTTGTATATATGTAGCCAAGTTACAGTGTGTTAAAATGTTTATGCTGACAGTAACATATGCTTAGAAGTAAAGAAGTAATCCTCTATTTGAAGACCTAAGGATGTGGGAAACCTGACTGGGTTTGTGACTAAGATGATCTCCCCCCTCCTGGGAATACTTAAGCCTGGGTAGGATCCTCCTTCACAGTCCCCAGGCCACTCATCTTGAGGAGCAGCCAGTTGGGGCCACAGGGAAATAGGTAGAGGTGAGGGAGTCAAAGAAAATGGCTCCTTAAGGTTAGAAATGTGGAGGAAGGGTTTATAAATAAGAGAATAGAACAGGACAGACTATGCTTGGCCCTCGAATTTTTCAACAGTGGATATTAATTTGTCAAATATATTTATTCTATATGTGTCTCTCCTGTTTTTCCGTTATTTCATTTGATTTGTGGTTTATTTTCTTGGTAGATATTGTACATAGAGATCTGAAACTGGAAAATATAATGGTTAAAAGCAGCCTTACTGATGATAACAATGAAATAAACTTAAACATAAAGGTAAGATTAGCAATGGTGGTAAATATTTGCCTATAAACAGTTTGATAGCAAAGTGGCAAAGTACATCCTCTTTTTAGATGCATTTTGCTAGCTTTTGAGCAGCCAGAAAATAAGTGGTTTGTGTTAAAAAATAAAAATTTCACAAGAGGTTGTAACTGACAAGAATAATTTTGCAAGTTAAATGGAGTTATTGAATGTGTTTTTAAAGTACATATTCATTTGAATAATTCTAAGTCATTAGTTAATAGCAAGCAAACAGATACTCTGAATTCTAATTAATTTCAAAATTATGCCTGGTAATTTGATGTAAATGTGTTACAGATTTAGAGAAAAGCACACCTTGCCTATGCTTTTAATACTAAATTAATTCTAAAGTCTGTATTTCTTATTGAAAATTTTCCTGTGTATTAATATTTATGTCCTCAGTACAATTAATGTGCCAAGTGTTTATTCTTGAAGATTTTATTCAAATTAAGTGTTCCCTAATGTCAAATAAATGCTAGGATACATTATTTAGCACCATTATAGTGGCTGCTTTCAAAATGTATAAATGTGTTAATTTAGGAATAAAATGTTATCTGTGAGTAACTCACTCTGTTGCAGAAGCTAAGTCCTATGTAATAGAAATAGGTTTAACAGCATTGTTGGTTTACCCAAGTAAATGTTCTTGAACAGTTCCATTGTAAACTCTATGAAGGCAGGGATTGTGCATGTCTTATTCACTTAGTACCTGAAGTAGTGCCTGGAACATAGTATGTGTTCACTTAACATTTGGTGAATGAAGGAGTAGATGCTCTCCAAATAACTAAGTTGGATTGTGAAACCTTTTGTATATTTCGTGTGTCTGGATGGATTTTCCGTAGAGAAAGATAGGTATCATATGCTCCAAATGAGATATATATGAAAACTAATGGAGAAATTGATTCATCTATTTAGAAAAATAGTGATATCACATGTAAACAGGAGCATTTTCTTACTCCATAAGGCACTGGAAACTTTGCATTCATTGTCTCTGGACAAAGAGCCTATATTTGGTTACTTAATAAACGTGTCTGTTTTTCTGCTTTCAGTCTAAGGGTGTTCCAACTTGGGAGATAATTCCAAAGGCACATACTGAATATTTAATAACTAAATGTTTAATGACCAAGATTTAGAACTGAGCATAAGGCCTACAGTTGTAGCACTAGGCCACCAGTGTATTTGTAGTTAATACTTTGTTGTTGTGGTTTTCTTTCCTGTTAATATGCTTGTCGTAGTTTTTAATAGTGTAGTAATTGTTTTAATTAGTATACTCTAGAAACACAAAGGAAAAATAGTAAAGAAAAGATAGTGTTTACCAATTATAAATAATTATAAAAAAGGGGAGTTTCAGTGAGTGCTGATAGGGATAATTATTTGCATTTGTAACAGTGCTTTAAACTGGAATATAACTTGATTATCAGAAACATAGATAATATGTTAAAGCCAGAATGTATTTTACAATGAAAGAACTTTAAAAAACAAAACAAAACCTTTTTTATATGAAAAAAGTTAAATGCTTCAAAATACAACTTCCCATGTTAGACTGGTAAATTTAATCAGACGGCAAGAACTGTTAAATCACGGTATTCTCTCAAGATTTGAGAATGCAAGCTTCTCTTTACCCAGTTTCTTCTCTATACAGAGAGGTGGGTGGGGAAGGAAAAGCAAAATTTTTATTAATCATTCAATTAAAGTCCTCCCACCCCCAAGAACCCCAGAATTCAATGCAAGTTCAATGTGAAGTCTTATCTTCAGAATGAGTGAGCTCTAGGACAGGAAAACAGGTGACTGTGCTTGAATTTCTTCTCCTAGGTGACTGATTTTGGCTTAGCGGTGAAGAAGCAAAGTAGGAGTGAAGCCATGCTGCAGGCCACATGTGGGACTCCTATCTATATGGGTAAGTTAGTAGACTTAAAATGAATTTTTGTTTTGAGACAGGATCATGCTCTGTTGCCCAGGCTGGAGTGCAGTGGCATGATCTTGGCTCACTGCAACCTTGACCTGGGCTCAGGCCATCTTCCCACCTCAGCCTCTCAAGTAGCTAGGACCACAGGTGTATGCCACCACACCTGGCTAGTTATTATTTTTGTTTTTAAGAGAGAGTAGCCTCACTGTGTTGCCCAGGATGGTCTCAAACTCCTGGACTCACGCGATCCCTCCAGCCTCTGCTTTCCCAAGTGTTGGGATTACAGGTGTGAGACACTGCACCAGACTTGATTCTTTTATATGTAAAAAAGTAGAACAACCAGTATGGATTACAGCTTGAACAATTTTATTTTGCCATCATGATATAATGACCCATGATTTAGGCTACTTTTTCTTTTCTTGGGTCAAGCAATTTCACTTGTTTTAGTATTTTACTTATAGTTCCTATCTGTAAAAATTTTAAAAATTTTTGTTGTTTCTCTGGGCTCTTCTTAAAGTTGTTTATATCTCTTAGATAATCATACCTCAAACTTAATTATTACTTTTGTTAACTCATGTTAAAATCATGTACATGTTTTGCTTCTTTGCTTTTTTTTTTTTTTTTTTTGTTTCGAAACAGAGTCTTGCTCTGTTGCCCAGGCTGGAGTGTGGTGGTGCAGTTTGGGCTCACTGCCACCTCCACCTCCTGGGTTGAAGCAATTCTCGTGCCTCAGCCTCCAGAGTAGCTGGGATTACAGGCACCTGCCACCATGCCTGGCTAATTTTTGTATTTTTAGTAGAGACAGTTTTTGCCATGTTGGCAAGGCTGGTCTCAAACTCCTGACTTCAAGTGATTCGCCTGCCTTGGCCTCCCAGTGTTGAGATTACAGGCGTAAGCCACCATGCCCAGCCCTCTTTGCATTTTTTTATCCAGTTTAATCGCCATCAAACAGTTTTTCATGGAGTACTGATTAAATATATTTTGTAAAGAAAGCAGCAGTTTCCTGTTTTTCTAAATGTGAGTTTTAACAGCTTTATTGAAGTTTAATTTAAATACCATAAAATATATTTGTGCATCCTTTACAATGTAAGATATGTTTTTGTTTTACAATAAAAATACAGTGATTTTTCATACATCCACAGAGTTGTGCAACCATCACCACAATCCAGTTTCAAAACAAATCTACTCCAAAAAGTTCCCTCAGCCTGTTTATACTCAATCTTATTCCTATCCCAGCCCCAGATAGCCACTAATCACTCTAGATTTGCCTCTTTGTCTCTGTAAATGTGCCTTTTTTTAAATTTTTTTTGGCCTTTTCTGGACATTTCATATAAATGGAATCATACAACATGTGGTCTTTTACATTTGGCTTGCTTTCACTTGGCATATGTTTTTGAGGTACGTTCATGTTGTGGCATGTATCTGTAGTCTGCTCCTATATATTGCTGAATAGTTGTCCATTGCGTGGATATAACACAGTTTGTTTATCTGCTTAGCAGCTGACGCACATGTGGATTTTTACCAGTTTGTGGCTATTATGAATAATGCTGCTATGAACATTCATGTACAGGTCTTTGTGAGGATATGTGGTTTCATTTAGAAGTGTTTTTAGAATTAGCTACCTAAGAGTGAAATTGTTAGATCATATGTTAAGTTTATGTTTAACTTTTTATGAAATTGCCAAACTCTTTTACAAAATGACCATTACCTTCCCACCAGCAATTTGTGAGGGTTCCAGTTTCTCCATATCTTCGACAATTCTTGATATTACCTATTTTTAAATTATACCATTCTAGTCCCTAGGACTAGTATCTTAGGAAGTGATATCTTGTTGTAGGAAGTGGTATCTTATTGTGATTTTTAATTTGCATTTTCCTAATGATTAATGACATTGAGCATCTTTCATGTGCTTACTAGTCATTCATATATCTTTTCTGGTGAAGTGTCTATTTTAATCTGTACCTATTGAGATAATCATATTTTTCTCTTTAAATTTATTAATGAAGTAATTACAGTAATAGATTTTAGAATGCTGAACCATCCTTGCACATTTAAATTCAACCTCACATGGTTTAATATACTACAGTATTCAACTTTGTCACCACTTTTATTTAGGAACTTTGACTGTAGCTTTTCTTCTTTTGTGCTTCCTTTGTCTTTTCTGATGTTAGGGTTATGCTGACCTCATTTAAAAAATAATTTTTTAACTTCTTATATGATTATGAACTTTTTAAATTATTATACTTTAAGTTCTGGGATACATATGCAGAACGTGAAGGTTTGTTACATAGGTATACATGTGCCATGGTGGTTTGCTGCACCCATCAACCCATCATCTACATTAGGTATTTCTCCTAATGCTATCCCTCCTCTAGCCCCCTGTGTGATGTTCCCCTCCCTGTGTCCATGTGTTCTCATTGTTCAGCTCCCACTTATGAGTGAGAACATGCGGTGTTTGGTTTTCTGTTCCTGTGTTCACTTTGCTGAGAATGATGGTTTTCAGCTTCATCCATGTCCCTGCAAAGGACATGAACTCATCCTTTTTTATGGCTGCATAGTATTCCATGGTGTATATGTGCCACATTTTCTTTATCCAGTCTGTCATTGATGGGCATTTGGGTTGGTTCCAAGTCTTTGCTATTGTGAACCGTGCCACAGTAAACATAAGTGTGCATATGTCTTTATAGCAGAATGATTTATAATCCTTTGGGTATATACCCAGTAATGGGATTGCTGGGTCAAATGATATTTCTGGTTCTAGATCCTTGAGGAATCGCCACACTGTCTTCCACAATGGTTGAACTAATTTACACTCCTGCCAACAGTGTAAAAGCATTTCTATTTCTCCACATCCTCTCCAGCATCTGTTGTTTCCTGACTTTTTAATGAACGCCATTCTTACTGGTATGAGATGGTATCTCATTATGGTTATGATTTGCATTTCTCTAATGACCAGTGATGATGAGCATTTTTTTTTCACATGTTTGTTGGCTGCATAAATGTCTTCTTTTGAAAAGTGTCTGTTCATATCCTTTGCCCACTTTTTGATGGGGTTCTTCTTTTCTGGTAAATTTAAGTTCTTTGTAGATTCTGGATATTAGCCCTTTGTTAGATGGATAGATTGCAAAAATTTTCTCCCATTCTGTAGGTTGCCTGTTCACTCTAATGATAATTTCTTTGTGCAGAAGCTCTTTAGTTTAATAGATCCCATTTGTCAAATTTGGCTTTTGTTGCCATTGCTTTTGGTGTTTTAGTAATGAAGTCTTTGCCCATGCCTATGTCCTGAATGGTGTTGCCTAGGTTTTCTTCCAAGGTTTTTATGGTTTTAGGTCTTACGTTTAAGTCTTTAATCCATCTTGAGTTAATTTTTGTGTAAGGTGTAAGGAAGGAGTCCATTTTCAGTTTTCTGCATATGGCTAGCTAGTTTTCCCAACACCATTTATTAAATAGGGAATCCTTTTCTCATTGTTTGTTTCTGTCAGGTTTGTCAAAGATCAGATGGTTGTAGATGTGTGGGGTTATTTCTGAGGCCTCTGTTCGTTCCTTTGGTCTATATATCTGTTTTGGTACCAGTACCATGCTCTTTTGGTTACTGTAGCCTTGTAGTATAGTTTGAAGTCAGGTAGCATGATGCCTCCAGCTTTGCAGAACTGAAGGAGATAGGGACAGGAAAAACCCTTCATACAATCAATGAATCCAGGAGCTGGTTTTTTGAAAAGATTAACAAAATAGATAGGCTGCTAGCCAGACTAATAAAGAAAAAAGAGAGAAGAATCAAATAGACACAATAAAAAATGATAAAGGGGATATCAGCACTGATCCCACAGAAATACAAACTACCATCAGAGAATACTATAAATACCTCTACACAAATAAACTAGAAAATCTAGAAGAAATGGATAAATTTCCGGACACATACGCCCTCCCAAGACTAAACCAGGAAGAAGTCGAATCCTTGAATAGACCAATAACAAATTCTGAAATTGAGGCAATAATTAATAGCCTACCAACCAAAAAAAGCCCAGGACCAGACAGATTCACAGCCGAATTCTACCAGAGGTACAAAGAGGAGCTGGTACCATTCCTTCTGAAACTATTCCAAACAATAGAAAAAGAGAGAATCCTTCCTAACTCATTTTATGAGGCCAGCATCATCCTGATACCAAAACCTGACAGAGACACAACAAAAAAAAGAAAATTTCAGCCCAGTATCCCTGATGAACAGCGATGCGAAAATCCTCAATAAAATACTGGCAAAGTGAATCCAGCAGTACATCGAAAAGCTTATCCACCACAATCAAGTCAGCTTCAACCCTGGGATGCAAGGCTGGTTCAACATACACAAATCAGTAAACGTAATCCATCACATAAATAGAAGCAATGACAAAAACCACATGATTATCTCAATAGATGCAGAAAAGGCCTTCAATAAAATTCAGCACCCCTTCATGCTAAAAACTCTCAATAAACTAGGTATTGATGGAACATATCTCAAAAGTGCTATTTATGACACACCCACAGCCAATATCATACTGAATAGGCAAAGGCTGGAAGCATCCCCTTTGAAAACCTGCACAAGACAGGGATGCCCTCTCTTCCCACTCCTATTCAACATAGTGTTGGAAGTTCTGGCTAGGGCAGTCAGGCAAGAGAAATAAATAAAGGGTATTCAAATAGGAAGAGAGGAAGTCAAATTGTCCCTGTTTGCAGATGACGTGATTGTATATTTAGAAAACCCCATCGTCTAAGCCCCACATCTCCTTAAGCTGATAAGCAACTTCAGCAAAGTCTCAAGATACAAAATCAGTGTGCAAAAATGACAAGCATTCCTATATACCAATAATAGACAATCAGGGAGCCAAATCATGAGTGAACTCCCATTCACAATTGCTACAAAGAGAATCAAATATCTAGGAATCCAACTTACAAGGGATGTAAAGGACCTCTTCAAGGAAAACTACAAACCACTGCTCAGTGAAATAAAAGAAGACACAAACAAATGGAAGAACATTCCATGCTCATGGATAGGAAGAATCAATATTGTGAAAATGGCCATACTGTCCAAAGTAATTTATAGATTCCATGCTATCCCCATCAAGCTACCATTGGCTTTCTTCACAGAATTAGAAAAAACTACTTTAAATTTCATATGGAACCATAAAATGAACCTTTTAGATACTAAAAATTATCTAATAACAGTTTGAAATTTCCTCTTAAATTTTTTGGTTCTGCTACTTTTGGGGGGATAAAGTTTCTATTATATTTTCAATTTATACTAAATTACCCAAGTTTTCTACATTTTCTTGAATCATTTTGATAATTTATGTTTTTCTAGAAAATTGTTTCTTTTATTGAGATTTTAAGTTTCACTGGCATAAATATGCATATTATGTTTACTTATAATTTTCATATTCTCTTGTGTACCTGCAGTTATATCCTCCTATAACTTCAATATGCACATATTATCAGCTTTTATCACAGTTTCTATATATGTAAATATAATAGGAATTATGTCACTCATTTCTAAAAAATTTTTTGAGGACCTACTTCGTGTCAGACATTGTTCTAGGTATTAAAAATATAACAGTGAACAAAACATAAAAATGTTTTGCCTTCATAGAACTTAACATTCTTGTGGCACAAACATTAAACAAGATTTTTATAAATCTGATGTTTTAGAGCAAAGTGCTGAGTACAAAAAAAATAGGAAAGGTGATAGGAAGTGTTTAGATGACAATAATTTTTTTTTTATCAGGTTGACATGATAAGTAAATGAGAAAATATATGTAAAGTGCTTAGCAGCGTCTAGCACTTAGGCCTGAATTTTAGCTCTTTGTAATAATACTAATAATTTTATCTAAATCAAATTTGTTAGTGGTTAGGACAGTTAGTAAATAATAAGTAGAGCTCCCAATGGGCTTTGCAAGAACCAGCTCATATCTAATTGTTATTTGGTTTGCTTTTTCATTAATTTCTGCTTTTACTTTTCTGAATTCCTTCTTTGTGCTTTATTTTGGTTTTTTTGTTTATTTTATTTTATTTTTTTGAGACAGGGCCTCCCTCTGTTGCTTAGGCTGGAGTGCAATGCTGCAGTCATGGCTTACTGCAGCCTCAGCCTCCTAGGTTCAAGCGTTCCTCCCACCTCAGCCTCCCCAGGAGCCAGGAGCACAGGCATGTGCCACCATTCCCAGATAACTTTTTTCTTTTTAATTTTTAGCAGAGACAAGGTCTCACTATGTTGCCCCAGCTGATCTCAAACTCCTGGATTCAAGCGATCCTCCTGCGTTGGCCTGCCAAAGTGCTGGGATTATAGACATGAGCCACTGTGGCTGGTGGTTTGTTCTTTATTATAACTTCCTAAGTTGAATACATACTTATTATCAGGCTTATTTTCTATGAAATTCATTGAAGACTGTATATTTTCCTCTGAGTACCTTGACTTTTTGTTTTTTGTCATACAGTGTTGTGTGATTCATCTCTTGATATACTATAATTTTAATTTTAGTTTTCTTTAATTGAAATTATTTAGAAGTGTTTTTAGAATTTTTACAGGTGGTTGAGATGTGTTTGAAACTCATGAGAATGCATGTTAGTTGTCCTAGCCTTTTGGTTTATCTGTCTGGTTTTCTTTATTGTGGTAGGTGACTGTGTCTTAAAGGTTTTCAACTTTTAGGAATTTTCTTTGTGACCAAACACATGATCAGCTTTTGCAAATGATGCATTGGATATTTTAAAAATATGTATGTATACCTGGTTTGTTGAGCATAAAAATTTCTCTGTGTGCTTATTAAATCAAATGTGATTTTTTTTGTGATTCAGATCTTCCATATTGTTGGTGTATCTTTGCTTGCCACTTCTGTTGATTGCTAACAGAGTCATTCACCAAGATAGGTCTTTGACACATTGTTTTTGTACTTTGAGTAGATTTTTTAAAATCAACTTTTTAGGAATATAATTTACTCGCAATAAGATGCACAAATTTTAAGTTTTGAATCACTACCCCATCATGTTCAAGTCATAGAACATTTCTGTCACCCCAGAAAGTTCCTTTGTGTCCCTTTCAGTCAATCCCCCACCCATAACCACTGATGATTTCTATTGCCACAGCTCAGTTTTGCATATCTAGAAGTTTATCTAAATTGAATCATACAGTACATACTCTTTTGTGTTTGTCTTCTTCTTTTGTCGTACGCCATGATTTTGAGACTTATCCATGTTGTTGTATCAGTAGTTTATTCATTTTTATTACTGAAGAGTATACCTAATTCATTGCTTTTTTTGTCTGCTAGATGCATAAAGTTTTGAAATTGTTTTATCTTATTTGGGAAAAGGCTGCTTTAGATTCTGTTCATATCCCCCTGTTGGCAAAAGACATCTGGTCTGTAGTTACATGGGGAAAATATATTCAAGCACCCTGAGTTTTATGCCTCCTTATTAGTTGTCTACACTGATAACAAGTGAGAGAACAAGAGAGAAGACAGATGGTTTGTGGAGCTTTGCTGACTTCCTAAATGGCTTCTTGGCAGTTACTCTGGCTTCTGCATCCCTATGAGGGCTGGGATGATGGTGCAAATTGAAATGCCCCTGATAATTAAGATGACTCTGAAGGAGCCAGGAATTCCTGTCCCCTGCTGTCTGCTGCACCAGTGTGGAAATCCTTCATTGAATCCAGTCACAGAATTTGCCCTTGTCATACATGTGTGGCCATAGAGCAACTGGAACTTTAAAAATTCCATATTTAAAGATTTTAAGTAGAGTTAATGAATACAAATAGCAGCTTAAAGGAAAATATTAGTTAATTTTCAATTATTTGGAGACAGATTGCTCAGTGTTAGTCATCTGTACCTTCTTTCTTCTGTTTAATCTTTTGACCCGTTTTTGTTGCCTTTCATTTCTTTAACACTAGGCAGAGGAAAAAGGAGAAAATGAAATTCCATTTGTTTTAGTAGTTATCAAAGAGTGTGTGTGTGTGTGTGTGTGTGTGTGTGTGTGTGTATGTAGGTGGGAAAGATTGAAACTTTTCTAAAATAAAAACGCACCTTTTGCATAGGAGGCACTCTGCAGCTGTGTAACTTTAGGCAAGTCACTTAATATATCGGAAACTTAGTTTCCTCACTGGCAAAGGGAGTCAAATGCTTACATACCTATCTCACAGAATTCTTAACATACTTTATACAAGTAACAACTTATGCAAAAGTACTTTATAAATTTTAAAGTTCTATTGAAATATGTACATATATTTTATTTTTCTGCTTATAATTACTTTCTTTTTATTTTTTCTTAAAGATACCTGATTCCTAGCTGTAGAGGTACAATAGACATGTTCCTGCAATGTCATTTGTGACTTTTTAAAAAGGCAGCCAGCTGAGTGTAGCGTCTCATGCCAGTAATCCCAGCTATTCAGGAGGCTGAGATGGGAGGATCACTTAAGGCCAGGAGTTTGAGACCAGCCTGAGCAACACAGCAAGACCCCATCTCTAAAATAATTTTTAAAAAACAATTAGCCAGGCATGATGGTATGCACCTGTAGTTCTAGCTACTCAGGAGGCTGAGGCGGGAGGATACCTTGAACCTAATAGTTTGAGGCTGCCGTGAACTATGATCATGCCACTGCACTCCAGCCTGGACAATAGAGTGAGACCCTGTCTCAAAAAATGTATATATATATATGTGTATATATACACACACATGCACACACACACACATTTAGTATAGTCTATGACTTGTGACTAGTTGGCTTTTTGATCCAGTTTTATAGGAGCTCTGTCTTTGTCTTGGCTTTCTTATTTGAAAATGCAGAAAATAGTTCATATTCTGTTATAGGAGTGATGCTATTATTATTTTACTAAAGTGATTTATAACAATGTACCTTAGTTTTTCTGTGAATCCAGATTTCCCCATATTGGGCTTGCATTATGTTACATCTACTTAAGGCATATATTTAATTCTATTTTGTGGAAAGGGCTGGGATATTGTTGTCTTCTACTATAACTACACAATCTTTGCAAAATCATTTCTTAACAATTTAAAGAAATAAAGGGTAGTGCATTTAGTTATACAGTTTATACCATTGTTCCATTAGAAGCTAAATGATAGGAGTGAGGATACAGTGACATCAATTGTTAAGGCCTGTGCATTATTCATTTAACATCTGCTGTTGGTTTTCTTTTCCCTATGGGAGAATAAATTACAGCACATCAGCACATTTTTCATGCTTTGTGTTTAAGCATTTAAAAGACATTTATTGTATTATTAATATTATTTTATTTCTGCTTGCTTGGCAGCCCCTGAAGTTATCAATGCCCACGACTATAGCCAGCAGTGTGACATTTGGAGCATAGGTGTCATAATGTACATGTTGTAAGTAGCCTGCTAAATGTACACTTTAAGATGAGTGGATAGTTTCTAACAGTAGAATGATATAGACTTTAAATTAAAACTAATATATATTTTTAAAAAGTGATTTAAAAACCAATTGGGAGATCATTCTAAAAGTTCTCTTATTAGTTGTCAGGTATACATCCCTTAGGTATTTTTTAATACTGTAAATTTATAACTTTCAGCTTTGGTTTTCATTGATCTATAAATGCAACAATATGATCTGAGCAAAATGAAAAATCTTAACACCTCCCGTATCCCTTGCTACAAACCAAAAGCTTCATGAAGTTCACTTACAGCTTATCAGGTGTAGGCAAGTACTGTGGCCTGGCACTGGTTCTGCCCATACAGGCAGAGCATAGGTGGGAGTGGGTACTAACTAGGCAGAGGGTCACTCAGGATCTAGGGGAGTATTCTACAGTTCCTAGTTCCCTTAATGCTGCTGTAGCCTTCAGTCATTCTTGTTCTTCCTTCTCTTTCATTCTCAAGATTCAGTCAAACTCCATGTCCTGCTCATTTTTCCTTTGAAATATCCTTACCTATTCTTTGATTTCTCTTCACCTGTATCTTTTCTCCTTATGATTCCTTTTCTAGACTATTGCAGGGTCTTTCTGACTGTTCTCCCTACTTCTGGTCACCCTCCCCGGTCTGTCCTTCATGTTGCTGCCAGGAGTGTCCTTTCAAATCACAAATCTGATCATACTGCTTCCCTGATTAAAAGCCTTTGACATATATATATATACATACATATATATATATTTGTATACAGATAAGTATCAGAGCATCCTGGCATGGCATGGCATGGCATAGCAGGTCTTTCATGACCTGAGTCCAGCATGCCTTTCCAGTTTGGGGCTAGATATGTATTCCTGTGCACCTACACTGTGCTGTGATGATTCCAGGCCACATTTCAATACTCAGACACACCCTGTGTCGCTTGCCTCTGGGGTGTGTATGGGTATGTGTGTATTCTTTTTCTTTATAAGCTTCTTTCCTGGGTGGACTCAGCTCAAACATTAAAGCCTTCTATTTCTCTACTCCTACTTTACCCCACCATAGCAGAGTTCCTACATTTATTATGTATATACTTTCTCATGCTCCACAAAAGATTTTAAGGTAGCATGCAAAACAGTAATGTTGAAAGAAAAAATAATAAAATAGGAACATTTAACCAGGAAGGTTTGCACATGTGTAAATCCGATAGAATTCATTGTTCCCTTTTATGTAGTCTCATAAAGCTTTTAAAAACTATATTATAATATTATATATATAGTATCTGTTTTCCTTGTTCCAAATTCCATGGAGGACAGAGACCTTAGATTATTCATCTTTGCATTCCTGGTGTGTGGTATAAGAGACATACATTCAGTGCTCAGTATGTTTGTTAAATTGAATTAAAGTGAATTTTCTAAGAGGTGTTCTGAAAAGTTAGTGACCATTGTTCTGCCTCTTGGTGAATGTGAACATTTTTATGTTGATGCAACATTAGTTTTATGGTCATATTGAAGATTTCACTATGTACTACCTCTTCCAGATCATTTCTAAATATTGACATCACAGTAGTTACATTTTCACAGGTCTGTGAAATGGAATACACAGGCAGTAGAAATTGGATGATGTGATTGTAGCTGTAACTCAGCTGGTCAACACACATCGTTGCTTAGATTACATAAAGTATAAAAGTATTCAAAAAGTTTTTGATCATTTTGTGCTGATTAAAATCATGGTGCAAAAATTCTGAGCCTTAGTCTTTAATTAAAATATAGCTTTTAAATTAGTCTTTATACTCTCAAGGCTTTATCGAAAGCATGAGTCAAACATCCTACATATAATCTAATATTATGCAATTCATATAGTGTTTGCTGCCTTCTTAGTTTGAACTTGGTGTTAAGGAAAGTGAATGTATTATATCTTAACTATCTTTCTCTTTCTTAGAAATATAATTTTAATTTTTCTGCTTCAGAGTGTGACTGCATATCATCATAATGACGTTGTCTTTTCTTTACAGTAGACTCTTACTTAGCTAATCAGTGCCTATTCATTAATCTGTCTGAGCCCAATGGTGTTATAATTTCCTTCACCAAGAGCACAAACATATTACCTTCTCCAGGGGGTTTATTTGCTTGTTTTTCAGTGACCTCTGATTCATTTCTATTTAATCAGATAGTGCTAACATACTTTCTCAAGGTGAAATTAGCATAAGTAAATATTCTTTGTAGTTACTGTCCTCTGCTGTTTTGATTTCTATGAATGCAACAAAATAGTAGGAAGACTTTAAGAGACATTTTTCATTTCTTGGATTCCCTTTTCTGGATGTGGAGGAAATTGCTGTCATAAAATTTTGTATGCTGCTGATTAACCAACCGTTAGATACATTTTTATGTAAGTAAAATTGCAAAGAACAGAAAAAAAGTGAACTTTTTAAGATGTAGCCCTTAAGCTATGGTTGCATGCTAGTCAGGCAATGTAGAGGCAGCTAAGAAATTGGTGGATGTGCATATCACTGGTTGATAACAGGCTCAATGAAGTAGGCCTTTGCTGGCCTGCACTATTATAATATATAGTAATTGTCCAGTAGGCCATTTTTCTGGCTATTTTGTTTTCCATAGCTTTTTAATTGCATTTTAAAACTAAATATCTAGGCGAATAGGATGAGACAGAGGAAATCAGGATGAGCTAGAGAGATAAAAAGTATTAAAATAAGAGTTTGCAGAACAATATGATACTGATAAATACTTAGTAAGAACCTATTGATAAATGAAAAAGCTCTATTGTCCGGTCTAGTTTGATAAACCACTAGGATGAAAGCAACTTTTCTTCCCACAAAAGTCATCATAATCATCATTATTACTATGAAAAAATCAAATTTTGACTTATTCAGAAAATGTTCATGAGTTAGATTTTTAAATAATTAAAAATATAAAGAAAATTAGTAAAAATGTAACTGTTAAAAGACATAGAGATTAGTATACTTATGTACAGTGTAGACCAGCAGTTTGGGAAGTATAATGAAATTACACCATTTTATTCTTTCATCAATGAAGTATAAAAATATATTCCTGAGAGTTGAAGAATAGACACAGAGTTGCCCCTGTGATGAATCTAATTTCATCTGTTTGGTTGTCTTTGGACAAATCTGGTTGTTGTCTTAGGATTGCCCTCAGGTGTTGGAGTTGACAGTAATGAGGATGGCTGACATTTGTTGATATTGTATTATGAAGAATTGAAGTCAGCTTTTAAGCTTGTTCTTGTAGTTTTGACCTAGATCACTTATTGAAGTAATAGCTTTATAGGCTTGCCATGTTCTGTTAAGAGTCTAAAGATTCATTGTTTCTGTATTACAAGCCCATGTTTACTTTATACACACTGCTCATGGTTTTACTGATGTTGGTCATTATGTGTACTCAGCTTTCACCCTTTCAGGCCGAAGGGTCAAATTATTGTCTGATTTTTCCACATTCAGACCCTTTTCATTTCATATACAATTTTTGAAGAGTTGTGTCAATTTTAATGGCTTTTTGGCTTTGACTTAGATCCTATAGAAATTCCCAGGGTTAGGGCTGGGCACATTTGTGCACGCCTGTAATCCCAGCATTTTGGGAGGCCAAGGCAGGTAGATCACTTGAGGTCAGAAGTTCAAGGCCAGCCTGGTCAACATGGTGAAACCCTATCTCTACTAAAAATACAAAAATTAGCCAGGCGTGGTGGTGCATGCCTGTAATCCCTGCTACTCAGGAGGCTGAGGCAAGAGAATGACTTGAATCCAGGAGGTGGAGGTTGTAGTGAGCCGACATCGCACCACTGCACTCCAGCCTGGGAGACAGAGTAAGACTCCATCTCAAAAAATAAAAAGAAATTCCCAGGGTTAGTCTTGGTTTATTTTTATTATTGCTAACATTTGTATAGTATTTTACTATGGATAAAAGCCTTAGCTGGTCATTAGACTTTGGTAACTAATTAGACCCTGATAACTCACTGTATTTTTCAGTTGAGTCAATTTGCATTATGTACCTTAAGGTATTACCTTCCTGTTGCTCACTCTCAAAGTGTATCTCCTTCATTAGCTACGACTATTATTGTACACTTACACTCACCTTCCCATATTTTAGCCCCAGTTAAGCTTAGTGTTTCCCCACCTGCAAGGGCTTTGGGTCATTGCTAATCTGGAGGTTTTAGTGTATATTTGCATACTTCCTCTACCAGATCCTTTCTCTAAATATTGAAATAAGAGCCTAGCACTGATCTTGGAAAACCTTGTTGCTTCCATTTTTACTTCCAGGCAGGTACCCATCTCTTCCCATCCTTTCCTTAAATATGAAGCAGCACTACTTCCAAGTCCTATGGAAACTTAATTTTAATAGCCTTATTTTTGTTATTTAAAAATTTAAACAAAGTGATTGCTTTTGTTGCAGATTTTGTGGAGAACCACCCTTTTTGGCAAGCTCAGAAGAGAAGCTTTTTGAATTAATAAGAAAAGGAGAACTACATTTTGAAAATCCAGTCTGGAATTCCATAAGTGATTGTGGTAAGTATAAGTGTGTTATTATTTGCTAAAGCTAATATAAGTAACATAAGAAAGTTGGCCAGTGGTTAAAATGTTTTAAATCTCTGTTTCGTCATTAAATTTACTTGTGGAAATGAACACTATTTACTTGTGGAAATAGAAATATCTTCACTGTGATTGTTCATCATCAAAACTTTCAAAAACAGAAAATACGTAATAAAAGTTAAAGAGGAAATTTGCTGATCATCTAGCTAATGTTTACTATAGACCATTAAACTAGGTAATCCAGGCAATAAAACTTCACTTTAGGCTTTAAATTTTATTTATTAGGCATTTATACTGATGGTTTTTATTGTATACTTGACATCTTTCTTTCCTGTTATACAGACCTAATCCTAAAAAATTGTAAAATGTGTGCTATTAATTGTAGTTAAAATAAATAAGATTTTTCAGGATTTTTTTCTTATTTTTAGCTAAAAGTGTTTTGAAACAACTTATGAAAGTAGATCCTGCTCACAGAATCACAGCTAAGGAACTACTAGATAACCAGTGGTTAACAGTAAGTTACAATATTACTTCTTTCTTTCTGACACGCTACCATTGCTCATTTCTTTTTATTTTGTCTTGGAGTTTTCTGTATAATCTTAAAACAGTCAGTTAGTTTGATTTTCTGTCAAATTAAAAAACATTGAGTTTTGACAAATTTCTGAAAATGGGCATTTTCAAACTGTTAGAACTGTTGTCACAGTTGTATATATATATTTATAGAGGTTTAAATGATCTTTGTTCAGTGTCATGAAAGTATCATGCCCAATAGAACAGAGCTGAAAAATGTCCAATATTATAGCTCTGGAAAGTTGAAACAGTCTATATAGTTCAGTGATGTAAAACACTGGAACCACTCACCTCTCTTTCAACTCTTGGGGTGTAGAAAATCTTTAGGGACTCAGAAAAGCCATGATCTCCAAACAGTGGCAGTCTCCTGGTTTGGAATTTTATTTATTTACATATTGCTTTCTGCCGTTAGACTAAATTCTTCAAGCACAGACCTTGTGTCTTACTGATCTTCGTATCCCTGCATCCAAACATTACCTGGTCACAAGAGGAACCTTGGAAAAGGCTACTGCTTATCCCTCAATATTTATTCTTCTCCTTCTATAATAATAAGGATCCTGACTTTTGGTTGGAAACATTGCTGTCCAGTTAAAAGACTCTTCCCCAGTGTTCTTTGCTAGTTATCGTGATGGTCAGTGAGATGCAAGTGGAAGTGGCTGCAATTTCTGGAAAGTGTCCTTAAATGGAGCTGGTGTGGCATTTCTCATGTAGTTCCTCTTTCCTGGTAGATGCAGATGTGAGTTTGAGTAGCCATATTAGATTATAAAGTGGAATCTGGAAATGGCAGAGCAACAAGATGCAAGAAACCATAATAGTAGCTCACAGAGCTGCCATGTCAACCCTTCACTGCCTACCTCCAGAATTTATGAATGGGAAACAGACTTCTGTCATCTTTAAAATACCCTATAGTGTGCAGCTGGACCTAATTTCGATTAATACAATCCTCAAACAATTGCTGAATGAATGAATGATTCAGTAAGTGGATAGGTCTGTAGATACCTCAGAAATTTTTCTGTGAACTGAGATTAGAAATTATTAGAGCCATATGGGAATATTACTAGAGAGTATTCATCTATTAAAACTTGTAGATCTATTATTTGCTAGATACTGTGTTAGGTATTGGGGATACATGATATAATTACATTTAAAATGTAAATTAGCATATGATAATTTTTTTTTTTTTTGGGGACGGAGTCTCGCTCTGTCGTCGGGCTGGAGTGCAGTGGCACAATCTCGGCTCCTGGGTTCAAGTGATTCTCCTGCCTCAGCCTCCTTAGTAGCTGGGCACTAAGGAGGCACGTACCTCCTAAAGGCACCTACCACCACACCCAGCACATTTTTGCATTTTTTGTTTTGTATTTTATTTTGTATTTTTGTAGACACGGGGTTTCACCATGTTGGCCAGGATGGTCTCAATCTCTTGGCCTTGTGATCTGCCCGGCTCAGCCTCCCAAAGTGTTGGGATTACAGGCGTGAGCCACCATGCCCGGCCGATAATATTCTTAAAAGATCATTCTGACTATTTGGGTGGGGAATGGCTTGGAAATAGGGAATTAGATAGATGTTGAAGTAGTACTGTTGAGAGATAATAGTGACTTGGATAGAATAGAGATGAAGAGAAAAACATGAGTTATATTTTAGAGGCATAATTGATAGGATTTGATGATGGATTAGATGAAGAATGAGGATAAGAGAAGAGATAAGTATGACATCTAGATTTTATTCAAATAACTGGTTCGATGTTGGTGCCATTTACTGAGATATGGAAGACTGTAGGAGAAATAGATTTCTTTCTGGGACAGGGATGGTGAATCAAGAGTTCTGTATTAGATAGGATCAGTTTGCAATGCTTATGTGGCATCCAAGTGGCGATACCAAACAGATAATTGAATATATGAGTTTGAAACTGGAAAGATTTAAGATGGAGATATAAATTTGAGAATCATGAGTATACAAATACCACACAAAGCCATTGGACTGAAGAGATAAATAAGGAAGAAAATACAGATAGAGAGAAGAGGCCCCAGCAACATGTCTTTAGGCACTAAAACATTAAGAACCTCAGATAAGTTTAGATACATAAATATATAGTGATATCACCCTCCTTTTAAATTACCTAATTTTCCTTTGGCAATTTCTAATCCTTGCTTTAAATAACTTTTTTTTTTTCTTTAAGGGCTAAAAATAGTCTTCATCCAAGAATGAATTCTATTTGCCCTCTTCTATGAATGTGTTGCTCTCTCAAAGGATTCTGTGCAATAATTATTTCTGGCCTAAAGTAATTGTGCAAATGAGTTAGCAGCTAGATCACTGCAAAACTATATTGAGTAGGTTTGTAGTACAGCAAAATAAACTGTAAAACAGATGGTGTGCCTTAGAAATTTATCTCTTTTCAGCATCACACAACATTCGGGTTGGGCCATTTAATTATTTGTTTTCTAATTAGCACAACTTTATTTCTGGCTTTGGTCATTTTTCTAGTAGTCTCCATTTTTGAGCCTCTGTAACATTTGTCTCTATGAAGTCTTTGCCAAATAGATAGAGAAGTGACAGATATTGTGTGCTATATCGGATTGTCCTAAGGAATTCAGTGGATGAAATTTAGAATACTGGCATTTTACAAACTTCTAAAAGGCAAAACTCTTCTTAACCACTTGAAGTCTTACTTTCTATGACTCATATCCTCTGTTTGAAGTAATCTAAGGAAAACATGATAGTTCTCTCAGCGCCCTGCTGCTTTATAACCAGAGCTTACCTTCTGCAATACCTAACACATAGTAACATTTTTCTATAAAAAGTTTCTATGGTTTAGCCTATGTACTGTGCATTTTGAAATATGGTAATTATCTGAAAAGTATTCTAAGAAAAATAACTATTTCTCTTGTACATTTAAGGGAATGGAATTTCAAATAAACACATACATATTGTCATCCTGATTTAAAAAGTCAGAGGTTAGATGTAAGGAAAAATACCCAAGAAATGACTTTCTTGCAAAGAAAGAGTTTGACTCTAATGGCCAGGAATATGCCGGTTCTTTTCTTTCGTTCATTTCTTCCTTGTTTCCTTTTACTGTCAACTGTGGTTCAGGAGTTAATTGCTTCTTATTAGGTAATTGCCTTGGTATTCCTTCAAAGTCTCTTGGTGACAAATAACACCAAGAATTTACATTTTAAACAAGTTTCCCAGGTATTTCTTCTGCCCACTTATGTTTAAAAGCCACTGCTATAAATTAAGGAAGCCAGTTTTTTTTTTTTTTTTTTTTTTTTTTTTTTTTTTTTTTTTTTTATGTCTTGCCAAAATGTAGTTTGAGCTTTAATGGTATTCAAACATTAATTCCTTCAACACATTGTGTGTGCACGCACGGGTGCGCCTACCAGGTACCAAGTGTAGGTATAAAATATAGTTAAAGCCACATAAGACATGGTCTCTGACATAAGGAACTTACAATTTAGTAAGGAAAACAACCTATGTATAAGATTCAATGCAAGGAAGAAAATGATAAATGACATAAGAAATTACAAAATGACCAGAGGTATGGAGGCAAGCAAGCGTGAAGTCAGAAAGTTTAATTTGACTGGCAGATAAGAAGCTTGAAGGAAAGAAGTGAGAAATGAGACCAGAAAAGGAAAGAAAATTGTGAGACTAAGAAAGAAAAGAAAATCATGAGTGGACTTGAATCCAGGTTACAATTTTAACTTCATTTCATAGGTAGTAAAGAACAGTTGTATGCTCTTTGAAATGAAAGAAATTATTAATATCGTTAAAGTGCATCAGTCTTGCCAGGTGGCTTATTTTAAATAGGACCTCAATCACCCAAATGTCTATATTGATTGTAGCAAGTATCATTTTATTTAATCCATCAGGTACTAGAGAGGTACAAAGATGAATAAAACAGTTCTTCTCCTTGAGTAATTAATTCACCACAAGTAAGTCTGTACTTTGCTTTGTAGTCACAACCTTGCAAAAGCACTTTGTAATCAAGGTGTAGGGACTAATTTCAGAACAGTCTTTCCTAATGTATGAACAGGGCCTTTGTTCATTAATTTACGTATTGTTATTCGGGTTTTGATCATTAGCTTTTGACCTCTAGCTTTAACATATATACTCTGTATAAGAGGATGGAAATTTTCTGATACCTAACTAATTGTTGGCTGTTATTTTTTCCTTCTGTATATTTTCATCCTAAATATGTTAACTCTTACTTTATTTTACTGTATGTAGTTATTCATACATTCTGAATTAATCTTATATATGTGAATACATTTTTGAGTCTCTAATGAAGCTTTCCATAAGAATTACGTTAAGGAGGCCAGGCATGGTGGCTCACGTTTGTAATACCAGCACTTTGGGAGGCCGAGGTGGGTGGATCACAAGGTCAGGAGTTTGAGATCGGCCTGGCCAATATGGTAAACCCCATCTCTACTAAAAATACAAAAATTAGCCTGGCATGGTAGCGGGTGCCTCTAGTACCAGCTACTTGGGAGGCTAAGGCAGAAGAATCGCTTATCGCTTGAACCCAGGAGGTGGAGGTTGCAGTGAGCCAAGATCGCACCACTGCACTCCAACCTGGGTGACAGAGCAAGATTCCATCTAAAAAAAAAAAAAAAAAAAAAATTTATGTTAAGGAAAAGCTCATGAGCCAGGACACTTGGGGATTTACTCAATATTCAATTATTGGTTATTACTCAATAATTCAACAAATGTTTATTAGATAACTACTATGTGCTTTGGAGGACACAAGGATCAGTCTGGCATGGTCCCTGCCCACAGGTTGCCCACAGCCTAATAAAGGGTTTAAAACAAAAACACTGGCAGAGAATGATAGATCCACAAGGACGTAAATGTAGTATAACAACTACTACTAAATTTCCAAGAAGAGAGCTATTATTCTTTTAAGCAAGCTTGTCCAACTCACAACCCAGCACAAATTCATAAACTGTCTTA